AATTGGTTACCTCCCACACATGCCCTGACCAGGTAAATGCCCTTGACAGAAAATCGAACCTGCAACCCTTTGGTGCTCAGGCGGATGCTCTGACCACCCCGCCACATGTGCCGGGGCTGCTGGTGTCCCCTCCCTTTCTGAAAACCTGTCCTCTGTGGATTTTGATGACACTTCTGCACTGGTGTGGGCTCCTAGCTTTCTGCTCTATTTCTTATTACTGTTATTCCATTAAATGTTCATGTTCCCCAGGGTCTGTCCTTGCCCTTCTCCTCTGTACTCTTTCCTTTTCCCTGAGTGCCCTTTTTCACTCGCATGGTTTCAGCTTTGGCTGATGCCTTCCAAAAGGCATGTTCATTCAAGCAACAAACATCTTTCAGCTCTAGGCACTGTTCTAGAAGATGCAATGACATCAGTGAGCAAAAAAAAAAGCAGATAAATATGTAATACACAATATCATGTAAGGGTAAGTACTCTTAAGAAAAATAAACCAGAGTGAGAGAGTAAGAAGGGGCTGCTTTAAATGGAGTATGGAAAAAACACTTTTGTCTAACATCTATTACATTAGTTTCTCAACATGTTCCAGAGCAGCAGTATAACCAGGAAACTTGTTAGAAATGCCAGTTCTCAGGCCCCTCCCCAGACTGGCTGAATCAGAAAGGGGGATGTCGGTGAGAGGGATGGTGGCATGCAGCAATGTGTTTTAGAAAGCCCTCCAGGTGACTCTGCTGTGTGCTAAGGGAAGAACCACCGCTCTAGAGCAGTTTCCCACCGCACATGCCAAGAATAGATTACAGACATTCAGTCTAATACCAATTTTCTCAGCCCACAGGGGCAGTTTGAGAGTTGGGGGAAGGGTGCTTCTGGAAGCTGCCAGCCCAAAGTAATTTCCACCCAGACATTTCAGAAGGCAACCAAGTGAGGTTAGCTGGCCTGCCCACAGGCCTGCGGGTAGCAAGGTAAGAGCCTCTCAACTCTCACTGATGCACTCAAGAAGCTGGGGGCCAGCCTTGGCCGGTTTGGCTCAGTGGTTAGAACATCAGCCTATGGTCCAGAGAGACCCAGGTTCAGTTCCCACTAAGGGCGCGTACCTCGGTTGCAGTTTTTCCCTGGCCCTGGTTGGGTTGTATGGGTGGCAACCACTCGATGTGTTCCTTTCACATCAATGTTTCTCTCTCTCTTTCTCTTTCTCTCCCTCTCTCTCCACCACTATCTGAACAACAACAACAACAAAAATGGAAAAATGTTCTCGGGTGAGAATTAAAAAAAACAAAGCTGGGGGGCCAGAAATAAAACCACGCCTTTATGGTCAATATTTAACAAAAGAGGCAAAAATATACAGTGGGGCAAAGATAGTGTATTCAATAAACGGTATTTGGAAAATTGGACAGATACATGCAAAAAAATGAAACTAGACTACCTTCTTACACCATACACAAGAATAAACTCATTGGATTAGGACTTAAAATATTAGACTTAAAACCATAAAAATCCTAGAAGAAAACATAGGCAGTAAAATCTTGGATATTTCTCGTAGCAATATATTTTTCTGATATATCTTCTTGGGCAAGGGAAACAAAAGAAAAAAACAAATGGGATTACATCAAATTAAAAAGTTTTTTTGCCCTGGCTAGTTTGGCTCAGTGATTGGAGCGTCGGCCCATGGATCAATGAGTCACGGGTTCGATTTCAGTCAAAGGCACGTACCTCGGTTGTGGTTATTCCCTGGCCCTGGTCAGGTCATGCAGGAGGCAACTAGTCAGTGTGTCTATCTCACATCAATATTTCTCTCTCGCCCTCTCTCTCTCCCTCCCACTCTATCTGATGATAAATAGAAAAATATTCTCTGGTGAGGATTTTAAAAAAAAGTTTTTGCACAGCAAAGGAAACTGTTAACAAAATGAAAAGGCAACTAACTGCCCTGGCCGGCCTGGCTCAGCGGTTAGACCGCCAGTGGACCAGATAGTCCCGGATTCGGTTCCCGCTAAGGCCATGTACCTCGGTTGCAGTTTGTCCCCGGCCCTGGTTGGGGTCGTGTGGGTGGCTACCACTTGATGTGTCTTTCTCACATTGATGTTTCTCTCTCTTTCTTCCTCCCTCTCTCCCTCTTGCTCTATCTGAAGATAAATGCAAAAAATGTCCTCAGGTGAGGATAAAAAAAAAAAAATGAAAAGACAACCCATTGAGTGGGAGAACATATTTGCCAATAAAAGCATCTGATAAGGAGTTACTATCCAAAATTTATTTAAAAACTTACACAACTCAACACCATAAAAACAAACAATCCAATTAAAAATGGGCAAATGCAATCAGAGAAAGACAAATACCAAATGACCTCACTTATTTGTGGAATATAATGAACAAAATAAGCTGATGAACAAAATAGACCCAGAGACATAGAAAGGAGTACGGTTCAGACTGACAAACCTCAGAGGAGCGGGGTGGGAGGGATGGATGAGATAAACCAAAGAACTTATATGCATGTATGCATAACCAATGGACATAGACAACAATGCTGGGGCGGGAGGGAGGGGTGTTTGGGGTGGGGAAAGGAGAAACATCTGTAACAAAAATAAATTAATAAAAATTGCAAAAAAAAAAAAAGGGCCAAGTACCCGGATTGAGCATCACCGCATGGAATGAGAGGTTCTGGTTTGATTCCGGGTCAGGGCATGTGCCCAGGTTGTAGGCCCAATCCCCAATGGGGAGTGTACAGGAGGCAGTCAATTGATGTTGATGCTTCTCTTACCGATATTTCTCTCTCTCTCCCTCTACCTTCCCCTCTCTAAAAAATCAATAGTATTTTTTAAAAACTTCAGTCCCCATAGTTTCTTACACTTCTAAGACACGATTTGCAATTTTATCTAGTGACAATGAATGTCAGCCTTCCCATTAAATAATTCATATAAATCAATATTCACTCCTTTGTTTATCCAAATGGATAAAACATTTCAAAACACCAAGTGAAATACGTGTAATCATTTAAAAAGCCTTGAAATCTTTCATGACTTTTTATCTTGGAAACAGACTCAAAAGTCAACCAATTGTTTCTCCCCTCTTCCAGTAACCCCATTCCCACAGACATCAGTCTCTTAACAAGTCCAAACAAGGAGTAAAGTATTAAGCATTTAAAAATGTGTACATATAATATTTTCAACAAAGGGATGACCAACATCAATTAAAAAGGAATCTGAAAGAAAACAGCAACATCATGAGAGTGGGCGAGGCCAGCCAGCGGGAGACTCAGGTTGCTGCCTCAGCACCCCCCACCCCCACAGATGCTGCGTTGACCTCTGCACCATGGCATCATGGTCAGAACCCCAACAGGCTTGTGTCATAGGTAGGTACTCGTATTGATTGTGTTATGTATGGATATACACAATGAAGTCATGATTTCGTACCTTGTCAATGGTCCTGCAACAAAAGAGACTGAGAACAAGCACCCGACATAGGAGCCAACACCACGCAGGGCCTTTTCTCATCAGTTTTTCCTCTGTCTTGTTGGGAGACACGGTACAGTTTTGAGAACATCATTTTTCCAGCTATCCTGCCAATTCTTGAAGTAAAAGATGAGGTGAAATTTTCATTTAAAAGTTTAGGACTCTAGGTCAAATTAATTTGTAACAGTCAAAGGCTGAGAAAAAAGCAGCTTCATACTTTCCCAAACAGGGAAATCTTACAGGGTGGTAAACTAGCTATGTTTAATAGCAGCTATTAATTCGAGTGAATAGTAAATAGTCATGATACTTTTCCCTCCTTGGGCCAAATGCGGCTTCAAAGTGTTCCCGTTGTGCTGCTCTAGGCAGGGACTGTCCATGGAGGCAGGCAGATGAGAGGAAACCTTTGTCCTCCTTAGGTAACCATGCAACAAGGTTTAGAGAGTAAGACCACGTCTGCAGTATTTACCTTACTTTATCACCAATCTTTTAATCCCTTTATTCCCAGTGGCCTAACTTGGAATATAGGGAAGAAAGTAGGGGAATGGTTTTTTCAGACCCACTGGGTCCTCATTCTTTAATAAGATTTTTGAGAGAGGGATAAAGCTACTGCTGTGTGAATGCAAATATCGAAAAAGAAAAATAAGTGAGCATTATTTCTGCCATCATGTGATCTGAGCTATTTGGGTGGAATCCTAAATCTTGAGTTTGTAGGGTTACCTAGACCAACCTCGCATTCCGTGAGAAACAAATTATGAACAGAAAATGGAAGAGAAATCTAGTCGTTGTTAAAGGTTCCCGCAGACAGCCAGGCAGCTCTGGAGGTTTGCTGCAAGATGAAGCATCCACAGTGAAGCTTGGAAAAGCACAACTCCTGCCTGAATTCAGCAAGGAAGCATGGGAACAGGGCTTCATCAAGGAAAAAAATGTCCGGTCCCTAAAAACAGAAAGATCCCTCCCCTCCTATGACTCTTCGAGAAGTATCACATCATCAACAGGCTCAAGCCCTAGTAAAAATAATAATAGAGATCTGAAAGTTTTCCTTTCTCCTCTAAATCCTCCCAGGAGTGGTGCTAACACCATTCATTACCAGTTAAAGCATAAGCAGAAAGAGTAGGGCCAGGATATGTAGGGGGAGGGGGAGGCACCCTTGTAGGGGGTAAGGGCAGACCTGGGGGTTATTTCTAACTTTACCTTAACGTTATCCTAGTTGGATGGCTTTTCTGTTGCTCAAGCCCTGTAGCAGGACCCGAGGGCCACGAAAGCAATGCCAGAGAGCCGCCACAGCCACCTGCGCCGGTCCATCGTCTAGAGGGAACGTTTTCCACACCGTGACCTGCACACCGCCTGCACACGAACTCGCTGTTGGAGGTAACACCCTCCTCGGGTTGGCGGGCCCTGTCCACAGCTCCTCTGAGAAGCAGCTGTCCCTCGTCACCAGGGGCGAAGTCCCCGCCCTACGACTGCCGGGGTCCCGCCCCCGCCCTGCCCCGGTCATTAGGGTTCCCAGAGACTCACCGCAGGCGACTCCCGGGCACCGCGCTCCCGGGCCCTGCCGCTCTGAGGATGGAGAGAAGGGCTCGGAGCTCCTCCAGAGAGGCCCGCGGGGGAGGCGGCGGGTCCCCCCACAAGGAGAAGAGGGCGAAGGCCGAGAAGGGCGGTGGAGGGCGCGGGCGCCGGGATGCTGGGCGCGAGCGCCGGGACCTCGGACGGACAAGGAGCCCCGGGGAGCCCTGCGCGCCCGCGGCCACCGTGGTGGACGTGGATGAGGTCCGGGGCCCCGGCGAGGAGGGCACCGAAGTGCTGGCGCTGCTGGATTGTGAGCGGCCCGAAGAAGGTACAGCGATTAAGCAGGTTGGGGACCCGGGAGGAAGGGTGGCCTCTCCAAGTGGTACCCAAGGTATGTCAGATAAAATGGAATGAGTCACCGCGCCCAGAACCACCGAGACCAGAGCCTGCTAGAGCCCCCACCCCCACCCCACCCCCGTGGTAGCTGCCAAATGCATTAGAAGTACAAATAAGATCAACTAAATACCGCTGGTCTGAGGGGCCAGCCAAGGATGGGAGGTGGGAGGTGGGAGGGAGTGTGGTCCAGGTTGGGGACCAAGCCATACTGCAAAGAAACCATGCAACTGGTTTTGTGGCCATGGAAGAGTACATGGGCACCTAATTTTAGTGAAGACATGCATGAACTTGTGGATCCCGGCAACTATGCAGCATATTCTTCCCTCCTCACACCCACCCTTCAGTCCTACCTAAAAGCATGTTCAAGTTTCTTTGGGATGATTATTTTTCTACAAGTAGAGGCAGCAGAGCCAGACCTGAGTTCAAGTCTCAGCTCAGCCACTTGCTCACCTTAGGCAGGGCCTTAACCATCTATGAACCTAGGATTGCACCAGTACCTGGCTCAGAGGGTACTTGTGAGGATAAGGGGTGGGGCAGCCAAAGCACTGTGCACAAAGCCTGGAGCAAGGAACACACTCAGTTAAAACAGGATCTCTGCAAGCTGAAAGAGAACAAAGTTAGGCTAAAGGAGGGAATCACAGGGAAAGGTGTCTCTGGCTTCTCCAGGTGATGCAACCCTTAGGAACAAAGTTATCTGCTTCCAATTCTTTTTATAATGAATGAAATAAAAACAATTATTACACCTTAAGTGTAGGATGAAGCTTAAAGGAAATTAAATAAGGAATAGTTGCATTGTATTGCTTTCTACTGGCTATGCAATTTTAACATTTGCTGGTTACTGGCAATGCAGTATATGCTAAAGTATGGAAAACTGTGCTTTGAGAAAGATCTGTGCAGTCAGAACCATGTTCTATGGACCATGTTAATGCTGTTTTGCCCATTTGATGCCCTGTCATTAGTCAGAAACGTTCAGCCATTAAATGGTTATTGGGTTCAATGCTACAGTAATACTGAGATTTATATACTTCAGACCGTCACATCGGGGGTGGGGGGGGGAGGCAAGAAAGGAAACGTAGGTGTTTTACTGAGTATTATCATTCCTGGATCACAGATGAGGAAAAATGAGAAATTAAGTAACTTGCCTAAGACCTACAGCTAGGAAGTGGAGAAGCCAGAATTCTAGACCAAGACAGTCGGATGGAAAATCCCCTCCTTGCATGGTGCTGTCCCTGATTTCTGGTCATGGTTCCAGCACTGCCACCAACCAGCCATCCATGGCCTTGAGCAAGTAGCTTCACCTGTGTGGGTTTCACTCTGTCTCTCCAGCTATCAGGTGACCAGAGCCCGGGGCACTAGGCAGTAGACGAGCAGGCTCAATGAGGATGAGGCGCCTTGCTGAGCCCTTGTCTTGAAGGTTTCTGTGGCTCCCAGGAGGAAGGGGAACAGGAGGCAGCAGCACCCACTCTGCCTCACAGCACCACATGCCCCCAGCCAAGCTACTTAAAATTTGGCAGAAACAAAAAGGAGCTTCCCTTTACCAAAATGCTGGGGATTCTCGGACTCTGTCATATCTAAAGTCTTCCTGCTTTAACATTTAAGGGTTCACTAGTCTCTTAAATCAAACATAGTAGATATTTAAGGAACCCATTCCAAGAGACTTTTGTGAGCAAAGCTTTGAATTAGGTTTTGGGTATAGATATTAGTTTTCTCTTCACATCCCCAACTACTGGGATTTTGAGGCCTTTCTCCATTTATAAAAGGTAATTTTGTCTGTGTGTGCATTTATTTGTTTTTACTTGCCATGGTTACTACTGGCAAGTGAAAAAAATATATATATATACACACAAGTGAAAAATATATATATATATATACACAAGTGAAAATATATATATATATTTTTTTTTAATCCTCACCCAAGGATATTTTTCCATTTTTGTTCAGATAGAGTAGGAGGAAGAGAGAGAGAGCAAGAGAAATATCAATGTGAGAGAGACACATGAACTGGTTGCCTCCTGCATGACCCCAACCAGGGCCGGGGATGAACCACAACTGAAACAATGTGCTTTTGACCGGAATCGACCCTGCGACTCATTGGTTCACGGGCCGAAACTAACCACTGAGCAAAACTGACCAGGGCAAGTGAAATATTTTTATCAATGAATTAAACATGACAATTACACTGTTATTGCCCTTAAGGAAGAATATTGTTTTTAAAAAAAAACAAAAACTAACATGATGTTGATGGAGCAGCATTTCCCAAAGTAGATTACATGAAAAATAAATTTTATAGAACATGAATTTTCTTGGAGAAAACATTGCCTGGTCAAATGTTTGGGAAATACATTCCTGACTTTTCAGAGGCCTGCCTTCCATAGCCCACATAGCCCTTCACACAGATAACCCCCTAGCCCTGTGGACGGACCTCTCTGATACCCAGCTTACTCTAATATTCCCACCAAAGTCTACAAACTGGTCTGACCCTAATACCAAGGACTGGACCAACATGTGCCAGTCAGTGAAGATGGTGAAGTTTCAATATTCTTTTTTTTTTTTTTTTAAGGTACCAAGTCTTCTGGTTTAGGGGCCTGTGAGTGGCTTCTTGTCCTCACATCCCTGCTCCTCATCATCGTGACCTTCCCTTTTTCTGTCTGGTTCTGCATAAAGGTGAGATCCCATGAGGACCCAATGAGTAATTTCCTGGAGCCTCTCACTAACCACCAGTCCACTCGTACTTCCGTGTTTGGAAACAGGCTGTCTGTTCTGCATGGAATGCCCTCCCCACTCACCCTGCAGGACGGCACTTCTCGAAAACATTGCTCAGATGTAACTGGAGAGCCTTCCTTGACTCCCCAAGACTGTCATTCCCTTCCTCGTGCTCTCCTGTCACTCTGCTTTCACATCCATTCCAGCGCTTGCCACGTGTACAGTATTTGTTGACACCCGGTCTCTCCCATTAGGCTGAGAGCCCCACGAGAACAAGGGCTACACCTGGGTCATCCGCGCTCTATAACAAAGTGGTCATGATGTCCACTTTTTTTTTTTTTTTTTTTATCCTCACCCGAGGACAATTTTCGATATTTTGTTCAGATAGAGTGGGAGGGGGAAAGAGAGAGAGAGAGAGAGAAACATCAATGTGAAAGGGACACATCGAGTGGTCGCCACCCACACGACCCAACCAGGGCCGGGGACAAACTGCAACCAAGGTACGTGCCCTTAGCGGGAACTGAACCCGGGTCTCTCCAGACCGCAGGCCAACGCTCTAACCGCTGAGCCAAACCGGCCAGGGCATGATGTCCACTTTTGACATTTCCAGGAAACTTCTCAGGCAGCTTCCATAGATCGTGAATGACAATTATCTCTGGTCCACAGGTGGTGACGCTTGCCTATCCCTGAAGTAAATGAAGACCTGTGTTAGTTTGGGAAGCACATGCCAAGACAGAATTGGAAGTGCAGGGACTTACTGTGGAATAGTAAAGGGAGGGAGAACAAGAGCAGGCAGCGCGAGCCTTCAGACAACAGTGCAGGTCTGCCACCTTTGCCATGAGAAGAGGAAGGGTCGGACAGAAATAGCCTCAGACTGTGGTGTAGCTCTAAGAAAGCCTTGGCCAGCCTGAAAGGGAACTCCAGGGCAAAGTCGGCTTCATAGAGGATTCCCACGATGGGCAGATGGCCAGGCCCTGGTACCTCTGCCATTCTGAGTCATTGTCTGGAGCACTGCCACAGGCAAGAGCATACCCTTGGCAGGAGCACTGTGGATGCTGCTGGGGCCATTGCTGATGGCTCCTCCTCCTCCTCCTCCTCCTCCTCCTCCTCCTCTTCCTCCCTCCTCTTCTTCATGAAAGGGTGTTGGCTTTTGTCAAATGCCTTTTCTGCATCTGTTGAGATGATCATGTGATATTCTATTTATATTCCTTTATTCTATTAATACGGTGTGTTACATTAACTGAATTTTGGATGTTAAACCAACTATGTGTTCCTAGGATAAGTCCCACTTGTTTATGGAGTATAATTTTTTAATATGTTACTGCTGGGTTGTTTGAAGTTTGTTGAGGATTTTTGTATCTATATTTATAAGAGATATTGGTCTGTAGTTTTCTTTTGTTGTGATGTCTCTGGCTTGTTTTGGTATCAGGGTACACTGGCCTCAGACAATGAGTTGGGAAGATTTTCTCCTCTTCTATTTTTTTTTTTTTTTTTGAGAGTTTGTCACTAACTGATATTACTCTTTCTTTAAATGTTTGGCAGAATTCACCAGTGAAGCCATCTAATCCTGGATTTTTCTTTGTGGGAAAATTTTAAACAACTAATTTTATCTTTTACTTCTAGTTCTTTTCAGTTTTTCTTTTTCTTCTCAAGTCAGCTTTGGTAGTTTGTCCATTTCATCTAAGTTATCTAATTTGTTGGCATATAGTTCCGTTTTTTCTCTTATGATACATTTTTATTTCCTGAAGGACAGCAGTGATATCCCTGCATCATTCCTCTTTGATTCCTGGTTTGAGCAATTTGGGTCTTCTCTCTTTTACCTTGGTCAGTCTAGCTAGATATTTGTCAGTTTTGTTGATCTTTACAAGAACCAACTTTTGGTGCTGTTGATTTTCTCTATTGGTTTCTATTTTCTATTGCATTTATTTTCACTCTAATCTTTATTATCTTGCTGCTTCTTGCTTTATAGCAGTGGTTCTCAACCTTCCTAATGCCGCGACCGTTTAATACAGTTCCTCACATTGTGGTGACCCTGACCATAAAATTATTTTCATTGCTACTTCATAACTGTAATTTTGCCACTGTTATGTCTTAGGCGACCCCTGTGAAAGGGTCGTTTGACCCGCAGAGGGGTCGCGACCCACAGGTTGAGAACCGCTGCTCTATAGGTTTGCTTTGCTCTTCTATTTCCATTGTCCTAAGGTAGAAGATGAGGGTATTATTTTCAGGTATTTCTTGTAGTTTGAAAGAAAATATAAGAAGTGGTATTAAAATATATTCCCTCCTTCTGCTAAATAACTAATAATTGATACATATAAAAGCTAGTAATGCAGCAGGCACAGAAAAATACAAGATTGAATATACTTTGGCAAATATGCTGCAGTTTCTTTGATTTAGGTAATGTTGGACATTAGTGGAAGCAAAAATTTTTAGATAATCATGACTCTTTAAATCAAAATTCTATTCACAGGCTCAAAAATTAACATGCCCAGTATACTTTTTCATTGGTTTCTGAAATTCCACACTTACTAAATGCAGATTTGGAAGCCTAGATATTAAGTTTTTGGTTCTCAAAACAAAAGATTCCTGGATACCTAGGATTATTGTGATGTCTCTGGCTTGTTTTGGTATCAGGGTACACTGGCCTCAGAGAGGCCAGGATTATTCTCATGTGAAGGCTTTTTGAAGATTCTCTTTTTCTTTCTTGGAGTGATTCAAAAGTGTTACATTTCCTTTTAGATTGTCCAGGAGTACGAGAGAGTAATTCTGTTCCGACTGGGGCATCTCCTTCCTGGAAGAGCCAAAGGCCCTGGTAAGAAATACTCTTTTAACCCCCTGTAGACTTGCTCATTTCTTCAATCCATGCATACTTGTAATATGGACCTCGGATTACATGAAGTAACTTGACTCATATCTTCATTTTCCAATCTGTTACTTGTACATGAGTTATAAGACATTCTTCAGAGAGCATTACTACCAGGTCACAATAACCAAGAGAGAGGATGGGTGCAGAGAGCTAAATGCCAGTCTGAAAAGTCTAGTAATTGGGGTTTGGAGATCCAAGCAAGCCAGGAAGGCATGAGAAGGAGCAAATCCCATGGTCCATGTATTGGAAAGGGTTCAACTTTCAAGCCAGCTCTACAGAAATAGGTAGAGAATAGAGACCAGACTAGAAGACATCAGAATTTGAAGACTAATGATCAATATTTGGGTCTATACAAAAGTAGAGCTAGACCCTGTAGTTCTAGGACAGGGACTGTCTTGTCCTGGTTCTAGTTTTTTATGTGCTTTTCGATTGGGGCTAGAAAGGATTAGTCGCTGGGCTGTTCCTCAGAGAGATCCCGGGCTCTGTGAGGTGCTGTTGCTTCTAACAAAGCTTTGACTGTAAAGAAACCCACATTGCCCAGTGGGATCTAAAAAAAATCTCAATAAATTAATCTGAAAATATTTATTGCACATTGACCCTGTACATCATATTGGGTGGATGAGGACTGACTAACCAACCAGAAGGCTGGTATCATGATATCACTATTCTGATGACCTCTGAGGCTTACCTTTTAGGAAATACCACATGGAAGTTGCTGGCTCTAAAGTTTGTCACCTTGGTACATGCATGGATTCAAAAATAATTTTATGAGCACCTGAAAGGTCCTAAGTCAGGCACTAAAGCTAACAATAGGGCCTAAGGCACTCCTGCCAGGGAGTTCAAATCAAGTGAAGGAGACACATGTGCAACCCAAAATGTGGAGCTGTCAGCACCAAGGTGAGCATACAGCCTTTTTTGCTGGGGCTAATCCCTGTTTGTGCCTAGTGTTCTGCAGTAAGTTGTAACAGTGCTCTTTTGTCACCCTCAAACGTGTCCCAGATTAAACAACAAATTAGATGGTAACCTTAGCAACAACAAACACACTATAGGGGTAGCAGTGTATAGTTTCAGGTTAAGAAAAGCAATGCAATGTGCAACCTGACCCCAATAAAGTGAACCCCAAACCGTCTTCATGCTAGCCATTCACTGGTCACTTCCACCTCCCCCTCGTCTAGGCCTTTTCTTCTTTTTGCCCTGCCTGGATACCTACCACAAGGTGGACCTTCGTCTCCAAACCTTGGAGATACCCTTTCATGAGGTAAGCCAATGATGGGTTTTACTTTCTCTATATATTTTGTATGGCTGAGCTACCAATTCTGGTCCAAGGCAAAATGACTACTTAAGATCAAAAGTAGAAAAGGAAGCCCTGGCCAGTTTGGTTCAGTGGTTAGAGCGTTGGCCCGCAGACCAGAGACCCGGGTTAGGTTCCCGCTTAGGGCATGTGCCTAGGTTGCAGTTTGTCCCTGGCCCGGGTTGGGGTCCTGTGGGTGGCAACCAGTCAATGTGTCTCTCTCACATCGATGTTTCTCTCTCTCTCTTCCTCCCTCTCCCCATCCTGCTCTATCTGAGGATAAATGCAGAAATGTCCTCAGGTGAGGATAAAAAAAAAAAGTAGAAAAGGGAAATAGAGATATGGACTACATCAAAATGCAAAACTCCTGTACATCAAAGGACACAGTCAACAGAATGAACAGGCAACCTATGGAATGGAAGAAAATATTTGAAAATAACATGCCTGATAAAGGGTTACTATCCAGAATATATAAAGAAACCTTACAACTCCCCCAGCTGGTGTGGCTCAGTGGTTGAGCATCTACCCATGCACCAACAGGTCACCAGTTTGATTCTTGGTCAAAGCATGTGCCCAGGATGTGGACCAAATCCCCAGTGGTGGGGCATGCAGGAGGCAGCCAATCGATGTTCTCTCTCATCGATGTTTCTCTCTCTCTCTCCCTCTCCCTTCCTCTCTCTCTCAAATCAATAAAGAAAAAAAATTTTTTTTAAAGAAAAAAATCTTACAACTCAAGAAAGAAAGAAAAAAATTAAAAATAGGAAAAGGACTTGTGATGATTAATTGTTTTTTAAATTTTTCTTTACTGATTTTAGAGAGAGACATAGAAACATCGATGAGAGAAAACATCAGTTGGCCGCCTCCTGCATGCCCCCACTAGGGATCGGGCCCACAACCTGGGCATGTGCCCTGACCAGGAATCGAACCGGTGACCTCTTGGTACATGGATTGATGCTCAATCAGTGAGCCACCACCAGCCGAGCTATGATAGTTAATTTTATGATTCAACTTGGCTAAGCTATGATACCCAGATATTTGGTCAGAGACATCTGGATGTTGCTGTGAAAGTATTTTTAGATGAGATTAATATTTAAATCAGTAGACTTTGAGGAAAGCAGCTTATGCTCCATAAGGTGGCTGGGCCTCTCCAATCGATTGGAGGCTTTCAGAGAAAGATTGACCTCCCTTTGAGGAGAGTCGAATTCTGCCAACAGGCTGCTCTTAAACTCGAGCTGCAACATCAGTTCTTTTTTGGGTCTCCTGTTGACCTACCCTGAAGGTTTTGGACTTGTCAGCCTCTACAGTTGTGTAAGCCAATTCCTCAAAATCTCTTTCTCTTTCTACATACACACACACAAATGATTCTCTTTCTCTGGAGAGACCTGGCAAATAGACTTGAATAACATGTCTGCAAAGGAAATATACAAATTGTCAATAAACACATGAGCAGATGTTCAACATCACTAATCATTACAGAAATGCAAATCAAAACCACAATGAAACACCACCTCACACCTATTAGGATGGCTACCAAAGAGAAGGAAAAAAGGCTGGAAAATAACAAGTGCAGGGATTGCAACCCTTGTATACTGTCAATGGGTATGTAAAATGGTGCATCTGCTATAGAAAACAGTACAGCAGTTCCTCAAAATTCAAAACTAGAATGACCATTTGGTCCAGCAATTCCACTTCTGGGTATATACCCCAAGGAACAGAAATAAAAACTTTGAAGAGGTATTCATATACCTATGTTCATAGCAACATTATTCACAACAGCCAAAAGGTGAAAGCAACCCAAATGTCCATCAGTGGCTGAATAGATAAACAAAATGTGGTATATACCTACTATGGAAGATTACATTCTATTTTGTAGCATGACTTTTTTACCCAACAATTTTTGTGATTATCTTTTCATATATTAGCCATGTTTCTACCCTTTTCTTTTAAATGGACACAAGGCGCCCTGGCCGGTTTGGCTCAGCAGTTAGAGCATCGGCCTGCGGTCCAGAGAGACCCGGGTTCAGTTCCCACTGGGGGCGCGTGCCTCGGTTGCAGTTTGTCCCCGGCCCTGGTTGGGTTGTGCAGGTGGCAACCACTCGATGTGTCCCTTTCATATCGATGTTTCTCTCTCTCTCTCCCTCCCACTCTATCTGAACAAAAAATGGAGAAATGTCTTCGGGTGAGGATAGAAAAAAAAAGTAAAATAAAATAAATAAATGGACACAAGGCATTGTGTTGTATGGATGTACGTACCACAATTTACACTTCCTATTGTTGATATTAAGTTGTTTCCAATTTCTTATTACAGTAAGCAATACTGTGAATAACATCCTTGCAGCTAAATCCTTATAATATGTGCCTGTGAAAGTGTCTAACCGTGGAAATGCTGGAAACCACCAGCCTGCCCCCTAGTGTGCACCCAGAAGGCCCCAACATGCACTCGGGGTGCTTGTTTCCCAGATCATTCTTCTCAGCACATTTTTTTTTTGGTATCAGTTTAAAAACACCTGGTAAACAACTGATTTTTTAAATATAAAAAAATTCTTCCTGATTTTTTTACAAAAGGATTTACAACAGGACTCCTTTAAATTGTGAGTTCTTTAGTGTAGTTAATAAAAAAAAACACCCATAATCTTAAAAAACATCTATTTTGAATAAAGAGGCCAATTACTCTTTTTCTCTTTTTTCTTGCTAAAATCTTACTCTGAGAAATTTCCCCTTGAACACAATTCCAGTTCCTCTAACCCCGCATGGGAAACAAGCCTAAGGATCAGGCCTGTCAGCCACACTTTTGTCTTCTGCCTAGGTTGTGACCAAAGACATGTTTATAATGGAGATCGATGCCATCTGCTACTACCGAATAGAAAATGCGTCTCTTCTCCTAAGCAGTCTTGCCCGTGTGTCCAAAGCTCTTCAGTCCCTCGTGCAAAACACCATGAAGCGTCTGCTAGCACATCGATCCCTCACTGAAATTCTTCTAGACAGGAAAAGCATCGCCCAAGATGCAAAGGTACTTTGATAAATTTAACATTGAACATGTTGAAATATCTCTTTATCTTTTATTCATTTTTTCCACTGGTCATTTACTGACTCTTCCACGGGCCAGGCGTTCACTGCTGAAGGTGCCCCTGAGGGGCTGAGAGCTCAGAAAAGGGTGCCACATTGACCCCGGGCCAATTGTAGCCACCAGTCTGGTGCAGATTAGTCAGTTACTGCCATCGTCTTTGCTCTCACCCCTACTCCAGCAGCTTAGGCGTGTCGTGAAAGGCCCCATAGCACACAGAGGTGGGGGCGGGAGCTGGCGGGTGGGGTGGCTGGACAGGAGGCGTTGGTGGCACGCAAAGCTGATGAGGAATGGTTCCTGGGAGCTCACGGTCTAGATGGGGAAACAAAGTTAAATAATGATAAGTTCAAATCAGACTTTCAGATAAAAAGGTGTCACCGACCCTCACATGATCGGTTTCCCAGCTGTCCAGTTGAACGGGTCTGGAACTCGGGAAGGGAAGGGAGAGCCCGAACTGCCTCAGCAGCAGCCTTGGCTAACCCTCGGCAGCCAGCTCAGCAACCTCGCCCCTGGGCGGAGTGGGCGCTTCAGCTACTGAGGAAGGGTGGCAAAGGCATTGAGGAGAGAGGCCAGAGCAAGGCAGGATTCCAGGAACTTGATCGGTCGAGTGGCAGTCACCACCAGGGACAGAGCCTGTCTTGAGGCCACGGGGTACAGAGTTGGGTTAGGGGCTTATGAATCATAACTAGCTGAAAGGGAGACCTCCAACAGAAGGATCCAAGGATCAAAGGCATTGATAATGATCCTTTTGATGGGGCCTGAGCAGACACTAATCTGAGAAAATGAAGTTTCCAGATGTATGGGGTTGTCCCACTTGTTACTGATGAAACAGTGATTAGCATTCTGGTTGTAAATAAAGGGAAGTCAGGAAATAAGAGAGCTAAAAAGAGGAAAAGTTATAACAAATGGCTCCCAGGGGAGCTGCTGCCCTGGAATTTAAAAACCACCCAAGTATGCCCCCTCTGCCCCCTTCATCCTCTCTTCCTGTTCATCCTTCCCCTACTAAAGGTTAAAGGATCAAGTCCAGACTCTTGACATTCAAGCTTGTCTTGTTACACTGAATTATGATTTATGTATTTATGCATTTGTCTTCCAGGTTATGAACTCCATAATGGCAGGGGTCATCTTTTAGTCATCTTTGTCCTCAGTACCTGGCACAGGACGATCACATAGCAGCTTGATGGTTTTTGTTGAGTGAAGAAATGACCCAGCTGTTGTAGCCTCACCTCTTGCTGTCCTTCCCCAGTCTTTCTAATATTCCAGCCTACTTGGCACTTCTCCAGCTGCCAAGCCTCCTCTTAGGCTGCTTCCTCTGCGTGGAATACGTCCCTTTTCTCCACAAAATCCTATTGTTCTTCAAGATGCCACCTCCTCTACAGTATCTTTTCCAACACCCCTTCCTCTCACCACCCCGCTTACTCAGTCTTCTTGGGGTTCTCAGTGCACTATGCTTACTAGTTATCTAGTCACTAACAAATCACCAGAAATAATTTAAAAGGAAAAGAATATGAGTCCAGCGGTTAGAGCGTCAGCCCGTGGTCCAGAGAGACCTGGGTTCGGTTCCCGCTAAGGACATGTACCTCGGTTGCAGTTTGTCCCTGGCCCCAGTTGAGGTCGTGTGGGTGGCGACTTCTCGGTGTATCTCTCTCACGTCAGTGTTTCTCTCCCTCCCTCCTGCTCTATCTGAAAGATAAATGCAAAAAAAGTGTCCTCAGGTGAGGATAAAAAAACAACATCAATTTAACCTTTAACAGTTTTGAAGGCCAGAAGTACAAAGTCAGTCTCACTGGGCCAAAGTCAAGGTGTCAGCAGGGCTGGTTCCCAATGGAGGTTCTGAGAAGATAACTGTTTCCTTGCCTTTTCCAGCTTCTAGCGGCCACCTCCATTTCTTAGCTCACGGTTTCCTCATCTTCCAGGTACTTCACTCCACTCTCTGCTTCCATCATCGCATTGCCCTCTCTTCCCCCTTGTAAGGACACTATGAGAACCACCGGGAGGTCGTCACTGACGTCTCACCTCTTCCCTCCACAGGTCGCCTTGGATTCAGTGACCTGTACTTGGGGAATCAAAGTGGAGAGGACAGAAATGTGGGTAGGAAATGAACTGGGAAGAACAATATGATAAATGGAAATATTTTGGTTTTATTTAAATTTTTTATTTGATACGTTAATTTCATTGCATGAGTAAACCATATTAGTATAAATCTAGAGGAGAAAAGAGAAAAAATACCTATTATCTCATAAACATAGCACAATCACTGTGACATTTCGGCAAATTACTTTGATATTTTCTCTGCATAGATTAAAAAAGTTTTGATATAAAATCACATAACAAAATTCACCTTTTAAACCATTTTAAAGTTCAATTCAATGGTTTTTGGTATATTCACAAAGTGATACAACCATCACTACCATCAGATTCTAGAACATTTTCATTTTTGTTGTTAATCCTCACCTGAGGATATTTTCCCATTGATTTTTAGAGAGAGTAGAAGGTAGGGCAGGAGGGAGGGAGGGAGAGAGAGAAACATCCATGTGAGAGAGACACATCAGTTGGTTGCCTCCCACACAACCCCAGCCAGGGCCAGGGATCGAACCTGCAACCCAAGTACATGCCCTTGACTGGGAATCTAACCCGAGACCCTTTGGTCTGCGGGCTGATGCTAAGCCAAACCAGCCGGGGCTAATTCTAGAACATTTTCATCACCCCAAAAAAGAAAGCCTGCATCCATTAGCAGAAACTCCTTATTTTTCCTTCACCCCCAGGCCCTGATGACCACTCTCCCTGGACTTGCCTATTCTGGCCATTGCATATGAATGCAATTATACAATATGTGGCCTTGGTGTCTGGCTTCTTTCATTCAGCATGTTTTCAAGGTTCATCCATGCTGTGGCATGAATCAGTACATCATTCCTTTTCATTTTGTTTATCTACTCATTGACTGATGATCCACTTTGGGGCTACTATGAATAATGCTGCAATAAACATTCATGTGCAAGATTTTATGTGAACATCTTTTCAGTTCTCTGGGGTAGAGACCTAGGCATGGAATTACTGGATCATACAGTAACCTTATATGTAACTTTCTGAGGAACGGCCCGACCGTTTTTTGTCTATGTATTTTTTATGGTTGCATTCAGGGTAAAAATAGAATTTTGTATCTTTTACGCAATACATTAAGTATTGTTCTTATTTGGTCAGTTTACCCTTTTCAAAGTCAATTATGTTGTATAAACTTAGATGATTTCCCTTATTATTAATAGTGTGGTTCTTCAAGGCTTTTTTTCATTGTTCAAATTTAATAGCTGGGATTTAGATTAAACTAAGTGGGGAAAAATCAACATAATCCATCAAGAGAAAATTTGATCTACATGGAAAGAGAAAACCATAGCTCTACCGCATCATCAGTAATAATGCAGATCTGCATTTGAGGCACTGACCCTCGAGACGCTGCTGACCGTCTGCCCAAAGGTCTAGGGACGGCACTCTGCCTGCCAATCAGGGGCTCTGTGCACCCTGAAGCAGCAGGAGGGAAGGAGGCCAGACTATGAAAGCTGACTGCTGGCCACGTCTTTCTCTTTCAGTAAGGACGTGAGGCTGCCGGCCGGGCTCCAGCACTCCCTGGCTGTGGAAGCCGAAGCGCAGAGACAGGCCCGAGTTCGGGTGAGCCAGCCCTGAGCAGGCCACCCGCCCGCCGAGGCTGCTGCTTGAGGAGCACCAGAGAATCCAAAAGGCCTGCTCATGCAGAGCATTCTCCCTTTGCTCGCTCATGTCCTCACCTTCCATTCATTCTTCCAGGAATCTGGCTTGTGCCCCACTCCAACCAAATCTACTAAAATCGCTTGCTTAAAGCTCCTAACTGATGCAACATCTCTTTCCTTGTTCCATACTCTCTGAGGCCATTGCTAGCAGTGACCATCTCCTCCGCACTGTCTTGCTTTCGCTCTCTCTCCCCCTAAAGGCATCTCACCACACTTCATCCTTCTTCTCTTACACTGGCATCCTTCCTGGGTAATATCAGTCACCTGTCACCTGTCGGTTAATGACACCCAGACCTGTCTCCCTAGCTCTGTGCAAGCTCTGGAGGGACAACCATGATCAGGGCCCAGGTTCCTCAACACCAGAGCCAAGAGAAGGTTGTGCAACCTATAACCTCTGCTCAGACATGCCAGGGAGAAGCAAAATGTGGCTGCCAGCAGCTTCTGACTTGTGCGGGTGGGATGGGGTTTGGGAAGAGGAGAGTGAGGACTGAAGGGTGGCAGATTTCTTTTAAAGCACAGAAAGTAGGTGGGAAAAACCTTAACCACAAAGAAGGTTGATAACTGAGGGGAAGTGGAGGGAGAAGGGGAGGAAGATGATCCTCTGGGTAGACACGTGTGTCTGTTCCTCTTTGCCCATTTTAAGGTGGCATTTAGGTGGTGAGACTGGTGCTTTTCCTTCTGAAAGGCTTACCCATTAATTTCCTGGAAGTGGGAGTCATCCTTTCAGGATTCTCTGTTTTTGCCTGGAACATTGGCCAACCTATTCTCTATATGGCAAAATCCTACTAATTTTTCAAGGCCCACTAGACGTAATTAATAACCCCCCAAACACTTCACTGTACTTGCCAGGGCCCTTAAATTTGGCACTGAATCACAATTAGTAATCTCCCCTAGAGCAAGCTCCTTGAAAACGAAGACCATCTGTTCTATGCTTAACAGTACTTGCCACATAATAGATGTTCAGTGCTTGGTGAATAGTGATTAAAACTTTCAAGGAATGAAGAAGAAAACTCTGCTTTTCCTCACATCTGTTCTCTAGATGATCGCTGCAGAAGGGGAGAAGGCCACCTCCGAGTCCCTGAGGATGGCCGCTGAGATTCTGTCAGGCACCCCAGCTGCTGTTCAGCTTCGATACCTCCACACTCTTCAGTCCTTGTCCACAGAGAAACCTTCCACCGTGGTTCTGCCTTTGCCATTTGACATGCTAAGTCTCCTATCTTCTCCCAGCAACAGAACTCAAGGAAGCATCCCCCTCCCAAATCCTTCCAAACCTGTTGAACCACTGAATCCTAAAAAGAAAGATTCCCCCATGCTATAAGAGGAGCGAAGGATAACACGACTAGGTGGGGGCTGCCATGTCACAGCACATCGCTGCGTGTTCTCACTCCTGCCCTTGCTTCGGTTGCCAGAGAGAATGCCCCTGGAATACACGAAGTCGCAATGCAGCAACCTGCACGAGAAGACAGTGACATCATGTAATGACCGAGAAGCCATAGAATAAGTTTAAGTATATCGTCTAGTCAGAGTAATTATGGGAAAGAGCTTTAGCCAACATTCTGCTTTGGAAAGAATTTTGAGTCTATATATGGCTAAACTTAGACTCCTGAAGATGTGGTTCAAATGTCCTTTTCACGGGATGCCCTCCGGCCCCTTTGGCAAGGTCTTTGCTGCTCCCACTGTACTATGAGCTTCTCAAAGTACATCTTAGTCATTTCCCCCAACCACACAGCCTTGTATACTCCACCCCATAGTCCTCACACCTAATCCTGATACCTGCACCACAGTGACACCTAAGTGATCCCGAGTCAATGAAAGTAAAAGAGATCTACTTGGGCTGCATATAAAGAATTTAAAAGGAATTCTTTTTATGGAGACTTCCTTTTTAAAGTAGAGGAATAAAAGGACAAAAACATTCAAATGATACATGTTGCTTAAAATCTGAGGAAGCATCACTATAAATATGGGGCTAATATATTTTCAGTATAGAAGTGACCTTCTTGCTTATTTTTCTAACAGTAATAACATTATGTCATCTATATATACCCTGAAGTATTCTTTTCTTATAGAGATATTCCCCAGTATGAATACATTTCTATAATATATTGGTCTTATTTTCCATTAACTTGCCTTATACAATTAGAAACATATGCTACAGAAAAGAATTAGCCAAGTAAATAATACTGAGATATATAGCAAATCCTCTTAGAAACTTTAAAAAAAAATAACATTATAAAATATTACTAACATTACAAAAATATGACTAAAAATCATTATGTTAGTAAAATGGGAATATCCATGTTGCTGTAACAGAAAGAAATGCTGGTAGCTACCCCCAGTGCTCACTAGTTGGTGATTTCTCTCCTTCAAAGTGCCTCTTTACTGTTCATGTTATCTGATGTTATTATTGGGAATGTCTTCCTGCTACTCCCCATGGGAACTTTAAATATTCTGCATAAAAACACCCATAAAGCCCAGCCAGTGTGGCTCAGTGGTTGAGTGTTGACCCATGCACCAAGAGGTCGCCGGTTCGATTCCCGGTCAGGGCACATGCCCAGGTTGTGGGCCTAATCCCCAGTGGAGAGCATGCAGGAGGCGGCCAATCAATGTTCTCTCTCATCAATGTTTCTCTCCTTTCCTCTCTAAAATCAATAAAGAAGAAAAATTCTAAACAAAAAAACACCCATAAAGTTTTGTTTATGAATGTTATCCCCTAAAACCCTGCTGAACATTATTTCAAAGAGAAATGTATTCTGAGCTCCTAACAGTGGACTTAGAAATTTTTGTAGCATTTTGTCTGTCAAAGACAGACTGTTTTCTTACTATGTTTAAATAACAGAAACAAGGCCCCAAACGAAAGGTGCTATCTCTCAATCACTTCAATACTCCTTCCCCCTGCCATCCCTCCTACCCTCTAAAAAAGGAATAAAAACTCCCTAGCAGTTTAATGTAGCATCATGATGCCAACCTCTCAGGGTCATCTGTGTCATGTCTCCAGGCCAGCTCCTCACCTCCATCCACAGCTGGCATAACCACATGCTCTAGCCCAACCTTGCTATGCCCTTTGACTTGAGCCAAGCAATGACTCTTCCTTCCCAAGATTATGCAAGACTATCAGATGATTTCAAAACCTACATATCCATACAACCATACTAAATTTGCTTATTAATATAGCCACCTGCTTGTAAGGTTACCATATATTGAGATGATAATTTCCAATTTTGTTTCAAAAGGCTATTTCATCCAGTCCTGAAAAATGCTTCCATCTGTTAAGAGAAAGTCTCCCGCCCTAGCCAGTTTGGCCCAGCGGTTAGAGCGTCGGCCTGCGGTCCGGAGAAACCCGGGTTCGGTTCCCGCTAAGGGCACGTACTTCGGTTGCAGTTTGTCCCCGGCCCTGGTTGGTCGTGCGGGTGGCAGCCACTCGATGTGTCCCTTCACGTCGATGTTTCTCACTCTCTCTCCCTTCCTCTCTCTCCCTCCCACTCTATCTGTACAAAAAAAATGGAAAAATATCCTCGGGTGAGGATAAAAAAAAAAATCTCCCCAGTCCCTGTTCCCAAGGACCAGACTTGGTTGTGGGGAATGGCGGTGCTGAAAACCATGGATAGACTAGTCTCTGAGGCAGTGGGAGATTCTGAAGCCAGAGGGGCAGGCAAAGTTCTAAATACAAAGTGCGGAATCTAAAAGGCAGTCAAGTCCAAGTAAGCCAAAGGCAGATAAGGGAATCTGCTCGAGCCAGGAGTATGGTGCCAGAGAGGAACGCAAACACCGATGAGGCAGATGAATGAGAGGCAGGGGAACTCCTGGGTGATTCCCTAGAATGTCTAATCTATTAGGATTTGTAGTTCACTCTTGTGCACCAGCCAGGGCACGGTCACAGATGGTCTGGCACATTTAAAGGGCCAGTGGCAATTAGAGCATTTCAGAAGCAGGAAGACATTTTCATTACCACTGTGTTGAAGTTCAGATGGCTTCAAGAGTTGTTGGTCACTTTTCACCCCATATAGACAGTTATTAAGGGTTGGCCGATACTGAAATGATTAATGAAAACAGGTAGGATCATGCTGGTTCAGGTATGACCAGAGCCAGGAACAGAACAGCGAGAAGTGAATGTCAGGGTAACAAGGGTTTTACGGACCTTTACAAATTCCTTGTAGCATGTTTCTTTTCATCAAAGGCAGATTTTACCTATATAGCTGGGGAGTGCCTATGGTATCTCCCACTGGTTGGTCTACTCTGATGCCTAGTCAACGTTTACATTTCTCATTAGCTTGCCAAAGGGCATCTTCTGGGTCTGCTTGAGTGGTCTGTGGTATCTTCAGGTATTAACCAGCTGTTGGGGTGGGAGGGCTTAATGGCAGGGAACCAATGGGGATAAATATTGCTATGAAGCTGTGTTCTGGGTGAAAGGGTATAGTGAATAGTCAAAGCGTATTCTTCAGAGACTAACTAGGTGCACTGTCTGCAGGGTCCCAGGAGCAGAAGTCTTCTCATGAGACCCAGGTACTGCCTTCCGAGTGGTTATCGATCTTGAATTGATGGTGCCAAGCTCTGCTGTTTGGACTCCCCAGTACCTGGGAGGCCCAGCAGGCCGTTCTGCCAGTGCTTCTGCATCCATGTCCTTGGAGGGGCTACGTCTGGATGACTCAGCATGCCCCTCTCACTGCACTGCACTGGTCCCTGCAACGTTTTTTGGCAGAGTCTATTGGGACTGAGGGTTCTGATGTCCTCTAGAATTTTGGCCTGTATGTCAGTGCATTTGCTTCTCTGCTTCCTGTGGGAAAATACTTGCGGGCGGGTAACACACTTACTTGGAATTCCAGAAATGGGCAGACGGTGCTTTAGAGCTTTGGGGTCTGCCTGCCAATAGAATTTCCAGCAGCCTTTGAAAGTAAAATGCAAAATGTAGGTTACCCAGGTAATATCTGAGGCACTGATCTCCAGCTAGGGAAGGCTAAGAGCAAAAGGAAAGCCCAGGCAATACGTGCCAGAAAGGACCTGACAAGTGCCTGACCGCGGTCAAGTCTGTAGGACACAGTGAAGGCCCAGATCTCTTGGGAGAGAATCACATGGTGCCCACATGCATGGTGTAGGCCTGGGTGGGTGGGGAAGAGCCAGGCCTGGTGGATGAGGGGCTTGCTCACAAACTTCCTAAGGTCCCTTAAGTTCACAAAGAAGTATTCTAAAAAAAAAAAAAATAGTATTCTTTTTTTTTTTTTTTTATCCTCACTCGAGGATATTTTTCCATTTTTTGTACAGATAGAGTGGGAGGGAGAGAGAGAGAAACATCGATGTGAAGGGACACATCGAGTGGCTGCCACCCGCACGACCAACCAGGGCCGGGGACAAACTGCAACCGAAGTACGTGCCCTTAGCGGGAACCGAATCCTGGTCTCTCTGGACCGCAGGCCGACGCTCTAACCGCTGAGCCAAACTGGCCAGGGCTAAAGTAGTATTCTTTTTTTTTTTTTTTATCCTTACCCGAGGACATTTTTCCTTTTTTTTTTTTTTTTTTGCACAGATAGAGTGGGAGGGAGAGAGAGGAAGAGAGAGAGAGAGAGAGAGAAACATCGACGTGAAAGAGGCACATCGAGTGGCTGCCATCCGCACGACCAACCAGGGCCGGGGACAAACTGCAACCGAGGTACATGCCCTTAGCGGGAACCAAACCCGGGTCTCTCCAGACCGCAGGCCGATGCTCTAACCACTGAGCCAAACTGGCCAGGGCTAAAATAGTATTCTTAAATCCCACCTAAAAGCCCCCAAATTTGCTAGAATCACCCAAGATCTTAGGAAAACAAAAGGGTACGGCTGGGTATGCCCAGCAGGTGGTAACTGTATGTGAGTCTCAGCTTTGGCTTTCATTTGACCGTGAACACAGCCAAATGTCTGAAAATTTTTGTTTTCTTCCTTCAGAGCTAAATCATGAGTAGGCTCAGCATTTTTTAAACCCATCCCCCACACACTTTGATGATGGTCAGGGGCAAGCCTGGAGAGGGGTTTGACTTAAATAGGGGCTCTGGAGTTGGAGGTGGGGGTGTCTGAGGCTTAAGGAATAGGTCTAAAATTTCAGGAGATAAATCCAAAGCCAACACCAAATATGTGGAGCCGCAGGTACAGAACTCTCACCACAGGTGTTTGGAGCCAGAGAGAGAGGAGCAAATCCCACTGGCCCAGGAGCAGAGATAGGAAAGAACTCTCGCTAAGTGACTGCCCAGAATGTGCATTTGTCATGTGCAGCTTACTTCTGCAGATTAGTCCACCTCTGGTGCCTAGAAGGACCCAAGATCATGGACAGAGCAGACAAATGAGCAATAAAAGCAACAAACGAAGATTCTGGGCAAATCTTCAGCAAAGGGGCCCCTGTGAAGGAAACTACTTGAGCACTGATGGCTCATGGCCATTGTCAAACAATCTAGACATGGGTCCAGCAAGCGGGGGCTCTGACACTGATCAGCTCGGTGTCCTTGGGGAGCCTTATAATCATTTGGGGCCTCAGTTTCATCTTCAGAGAAATGAGGATAACAGTATGTCCCCCATGTACTTTGTACGATTGTGAAGATCAGCTAAACTGTAAAAATGCCTGAAATTGTAAGAAATTTGAAAATGCTGCAGAAACCTAAGAGTAATATCAGGATTCTCTCTTTTAAATGAAAAAATAATGCTTCTGATTTGTCATTCTTCTCCACATAATGCAGTCTTCAAAAAGCATTATTTTCTTGACAGAAACAGATACTTTTCACAGAACTCTGTTAGGAAATCAAATGAAGAGGCTGGAAAACTTTTGCACAAGCTATTTTTAATTTGGCAAGTAAGCTGATGTACTGATCCCCTACAGCCATCACTGTGACTTTTAAAGGAAGTGTCTTGGGTTGTATGCTATGGCTTTTCTAATGGCTGCTGCAAAAGGAGTACCTCTGATAGAGCCACACTGTCAGCTCAACAGCACAGAGATACCTGCAGTGTGTCCTGGTAGGGGAGCCACAGGGACGTCTAGCACCCTAGGGATGCTGCTTGGGTTTGATCTTATTATTGGATTTAGCCCGGGTTCTGGGTTTGCTGTTGATAATACTCTCCCTGCGCTGTGATCCTGAAACACAAAAACAATTAGAACATTGTAACACTATCTTGTTTTTACTAAAGATGTTTTACTTTACAAAACATTTTTAAAATTCTGTTCTGCCTAACTGCTAAGCTACAAACAGATTCTGTGCCCACAATTTGACCCTACATTTGTTATTGGGATTCAGAATGCATTTTCCCAAAGTTTTAAGCGTAGTCAGCCTGAATTCTGGGTCCTGGAAAAGGGGACCTTGTGGTCAAGGAGAGAAGAGAAAGAGGAAGAACATTTCCTCATTCTATCTTGTACATATTCAAGCTTGGTTAAAAAAATTTTTTTTAACTCAGAGCTGGTATCCAGAATCCGGTCAGACACATCCTTGCACCCTGTTCTGTCTCCTGGTCCCTCTCTCCAGGATCCTGCACACAGACCCTACACTAGCCCCACCCTTGAGCTGGGTGCAGGAGGCCCTCTGCCATGAAGCCTGCAATCCCTGCCTGCTCTATGACACCAACCTTCTGACTGGCTGCTGCTACCTCCAACCACACTTGGTCACCTTGTTCGCACCCTTGTCTTGCTTTTAAGTATGTCTCCCCACTCCTAATCATGGGCCTCACTGAGATCAGATTCATCTGTGTAAATGCCCCTCTTGATTCCTTTCTTCATTCACAGCTCAGAGCACAATGATTTGCTAATTATTAAAAATATTGACCAAAACAAAAATAAAAAGCTCTCCTTACTCTGTCCAGATCTTCATTTCTTTTCATTTTTTTTAAATCCTCACCCAAAAATATTCTATTCCATCTATCTTCAGATAGAGTGGAAGGGGGGAAAGAGAGAAAAATATCGATGTGAGAGAGACACATTGACTGGTTGCCTCCCGCACAATCCTGACCAGGGCCAGGGACCAAACCCAACTGAGGTACATGACCTTGACTGGAATCGAACCTGTGACTTTTTGGTCCATTGGGCTGATGCTCTAACCACTGAGGCAAATGGACCAGGACCCAGATCTTCTTTTCACTGGGCAGTCAGAAGGCTCCTTCCTTTACTGTATATAATCTTCCATTCCTTCACTGCACAGTTCTCAGAAGAGTGATCTCCCTGCACCAACTCAGACAGATATGATACTGTATGTGCCATATGGGCGTCACAGTGCTCCAGAGCTATCTGTATTTTTAAAAGGAGCTGCCGGCCCTGGCCAGTTTGGCTCAGCGGTTAGAGCATCGGCCTGCAATCCGGAGAGACCCGGGTTCGGTTTCTGCTAAGGGCACGTACCTCAGTTGCAGTTTCTCCCCGACCCTGGTTGGGTTGAGCAGGTGGCAGCCACTCGATGTGTCCCTTTCACGTCGATGTTTCTCTCTCTCTCTCTTCCTCTCTCTCCCTCCCACTCTATCTGAATAAAAAATGGAAAAATGTCCTCAGGTGAGGATAAAAAAAATAAAAATAAAAGGAGCTGCCGGCTAACTCATGGGAATGTCTAACTTAGGATTTTCCAGAGAAAATGTTCTGGTCACCTGCATGGCATGGGGACTGTCTTGCATAGGAGCCAATTCCTCTAAACTCTGCAGGGCTTCCCCTCCTACACTTCTGAACCCCTGGCAATGATTCTGAGAGATGCCATGAAGGCAGAAAAGGCCCCCCTTTTATGTGTTTGTGTAGGCTATTGTTTGCAGACTGGGGACTAACTGTCCATAGTTATCCTCTATCGATAATTACTAAAACTTTTTATTTATTTTTAGAAATTTTTTGGCATCGACTTATTTAGAATATTTCGTTTAATTTTTATTTATTTATTTTTATTTTTTAAATCTTTATTGTTGAAAGTATTACAGATGTCCCCCCTTTCATCACAGAAAATCCAACAAGTACAAGAAAATAAAGACAACCCAGCTGGTGTGGCTCAGTGGTTGAGTGTTTGATTCCCAGTCAGGGCACATGCCCAGGTTGTGGGCCTGATCCCCAGTGAGGGGCATGCAGGAGGTGGCCAATTGATGTTCTCTCTCATCGATGTTCCTATCTCTCTCTCTCTCTCTCCTTTCCTCTCTCTCTAAAAATTAATAAACAAACAAACAAACAAACAAAAAGAGACAAAATTCCCCATAAAATTCCATCAACCAGAGACAATGTCTGTCAATATTTGGGCATATTTATTTCTGGTCTTTTTTATAGCTTTAAAAAATAGTATCATATCTTAATTCTTGTATTTAATATGTAAACACAAAAATTTCCCATGTCATTATGAACTCCTCGTAAACACCATTTTAATAGTTGTATAATAATCAGGTATATTAATGTAGCATAACTTGTTTAATCTTTCTCCCATGATTGGAGAGATTGTTTCTATTTTTTCCTATTATATATAATGATACACTGAACTTCTTTGTGCATTGATTTTTTTTTTCTTCTGTATTTAGAATTTTCTCCTTAGATTCTCAAAGGTGAAATTATTAGGTCAAAGTATATACCTGCTTTTAAGGTATATCCACACATACTCTCAAGTTATTTTTGGAAAAGATTATATCTGTCTGTCCACCCATAAGTTTCCTGTGAAACTAACTACTTTGCCCCATCTGACCAGCACTGTAGCCTTTGGTTTTAAACAATCTTTTCCAGTTTTATAAGTCACAACTGCATCTCAAGTTAGTTTACTAGTCTACAACTGTTAGACCTTTGATTTTCTTTTTTCTTTTCCTTTTTTTTTATCCTCACCCGAGGACATTTTTCTATATTTTGTTCAGATAGGGTGGGAGGGAGAGAGAGAGCGCAAAATATCGACGTGAAGGGACACATCGAGTGGTTGCCATCCACACGACCCAACCAGGGCCGGGGACAAACTGCAACCGAGGTACGTGCCCTTAGTGGGAACTGAACCCGGGTCTCTCTGGACCGCAGGCCGATGCTCCAACCACTGAGCCAAACCGGCCAGGGCTCTTTTATTTTTTATTTTTTAGTTGTCTGAATAAGATAGTTAAATGTATGTGCAATCCTATGAGAAGTATGAACTAGAAGAGCAACACTAAATTTATTGATATTTTTCTAAGATATCTGTGACCCAATCCAGTTTTCTTCCATAAATACAGCCTAAATAAAACTAATTAGAAAGCAAGTCTCACCTTTCTTTGGAGGTTTTGAGGAATTTTCTACTGAATTCATTTCTTCTTCCTCCTCCTCTTTTTTTTCTTCTCTTTCTCCTTCCTGTTCTTCTCCTTCTCCTTCTTCAGTCTCCTTCTCCCTAGACTTCATCAAGACTTCCTCCAGTTCCTTCTCCAGTTCTTTATTTCTTATAAGACTATAATGAAGTCTCTCATTTACATCATCAAACTTCTCCTCTGCTAGTCTGGCTCTGTTTCCAATCTCTCTGATATGGACAAAGTCCAGAGAAAGACAACAAAATGGAAAGGTTCAAAAAAGTATCGTTCATATATAAAAACTCATTGTCTAAAAAAGGCAGTAGATTAGATGAATGTATCTAATGATGAAAAGTACAAATAAGGGAAGCAGCAGCATTAGCCAAGAATTAGGGGCCTGGGAGCCGCTCTGGATGGTAATGTCAGAGTTGCAGTTATGCTGTAATTTAAGAACATATTTATCATTTCTCAGTGAAATGTGACTTTGGGGTATTTGGAATTCTCCACCAATAGCCAAGGAACCCTTTTGTAGAAGTTAATTTTGCCTTGTCTTCATTGGTGTGCTCCAACAAACTAAATCCAATAGTACCTTCCTTAAAAAAAAAACAACACCCTGAGCATAAGTGCCCAGAAACACACAGTCTTTTATTTTTTTCATTCCCTTTTGTCCCAACAACACCTTTGAAAACAGATTTTACAATCAAGAAAACCAGCTTGAGATGTGCTGCTTACCACCTACCACAGCACGTGTCTAAGTGGCTCCGCTTCTGTCTTGGCATTCTCAGCCATCTTAACTCTACTGCTTCTCCTACTCTTTGGGTTCTGTAACATTCTTTCTTGCACACAGTATTTCTCTAGTTCATGTCTTAGAAACATGCTGAATACATCACTTTCAACACCCCATCCCCTCAGGTATACACACATACTTTGACTTCCTCCATCTCTACTGTGGGTGAGGACAGATGTTCCTACTACAGCATGTGGTTCACTGACTCTAGCAGAGGATTTGGAGATACCCATTCCACTAGTGAGGATGAAGGAAGGAGGAGAACCAAAGGTCAGTCAAGAAGTGTGGATTTCTCAGCCAAACCTCCTGGCCAGCATCTTCGTTTTCTTACCATTGTGGCACCTCATACTTACATTAACTTATCCTGCATGTGTTCAATTACAGCCATCGCTTCAAGATACTTTGGGGCCAATGTACCTTGATTAGCTGATTCTCTCTGACAAAGGAAATATGCACAAGAATAAACTGGAAGTCTTCAACAGTCGATAACTGACTTCTTCAGGATGCTCTGGACCAAGCCTTCCAGAACATCTTTCCTACTATCTATACTTATATAGCAGGTAATCAAGCCTACCCTTAACAACTAGGGGTTGCCTGTGGCCAAATAGCACACCAGCTTCCAACTTATTCATGCTGCAAGTTGACACAGATTTAATTAGAGTTGTAAAGAAGAAGCAGGAAAAACAGTATCAACAGAAACAGGAAAGGAAGAAAGGCTTAAAAATAAATAAAAAGGTAAATGTTTCTATAATAAATTAAATATCAAGGGAATTATATTTATTTTAATAATTTACTTCACTAAGCACAAACCATTACAAAATCCAATTAAGATCTATTATTTTGATAGGGAACTTCATAAATATCAAGGCAGTAAAAATATGGGGGTAAAACACCTCTACTATGGTCCTAGAACTTTCCGTGAAAGAATTTTAAACGTTTTTCTGCTGAGTTTCTATAGCCACTGTCTAAAGATTTCCAATTTCCCAGTAATTCTTATGGCTGGAGGTATGTGCTTATCACAGTTTTCAATAGAATCTACTGAATAAATATATTTAAAAATTGGTCAAATATAAAAAGTATTGTTAAATTAAGGAAAAGGATGAGATGCCAATTTTAAAATAAGGTTTACAGAAGAGACTAAGAACTGTTTGTTGTGCTGGAATGAGAGTTTTCCAGCGATGATGCAGGGAGAAAAAGAAAACATGGAAAATATATTATTTAGAAGCCCCTGGTCCTTTTGTTTTTTTTTTTGTTTGTTTGTTTTTTTTTTTGTTTTTTTTTTATCCTCACCCGAGGACATTTTTCCATTTTTTTTTTTTTTTTTTTTTTTTTTTGTTCAGGTAGAGTGGGAGGGAGAGAGAGGAACAGAGAGAGAGAGAGAAACATCGATGTGAAAGGGACACATCGAGTGGCCGCCACCCGCACAACCGACCAGGGCCGGGGACAAACTGCAGCCGAGGCACGCGCCCTCAGCGGGAACCGAACCCGGGTCTCTCAGGACCGCAGGCCGACGCTCTAACTGCTGAGCCAAACTGGCCAGGGCCCTCTGGTCCTTTTGGAGGAGAGAAAAGTTATGTTACATCTATACCACTTTTACATAATGTCAAGTTTCCTAGCTTTTCTCTCCAGTTTTGAATTTCCTAGTTGAGTTTCAAATACATACCCAGGAAGATAATGTGTCTGCTCCAGATGGAGTTCTGGAGTAAACATTTTCATCTTCTTCAATGAATCGAATGCGTTTTTCCTTCTCTGTAGATGTGGAAGGTTTCTAGGGTACAGAAATACCAAAGACCTGTCACTGAGCTGGTGTGTGACACAGTGGCCTGGCAAGTTGCCTGGTGCTATGTCTGAAGCTTTCATTTTCCATCTGCTTTAATAAAATTACAGGCATTTTTGAAGACTTACAGCAAACACTGTGTGATAACTTAGTGTGGACGGGGAAGAAGGGACAGACAAGGGAGATAAATGTGAGGAAGACAAAGCAGATTTCTTCTAGACCTCAGGAACTTACAGGACAGTAGAAGAGATAGTCAATAAGATAACGACGGTATACGTGATTACTGTTAGCATAGAGGCATGTTCCAAAGCTGTGTGTACCCAGAAAGGGGCCCTCCATTCTGCCTAGACACTCAGGGAAGTTTCTACAAAGAAGATGATCTAGGAGTTTGTAAAACTAGGAGTTTGTAAAATAGAAAGGAAATCTCCTGATCTAAGGCCACAGAAGGAGAAAAGGAGGTGATACATTATAGATTTATAGGGTATGACAGAATTTCGTGACAAATAATATGGAACATGCTGGTCCAAAGAGGCCTGGGTGTTGCACAATATTCTTATTCTGTTGTCCTGCGTACAGTGAATAGAGGATCTAGGTCAGAGCCTGGAGTCATGCCAACATTTAAACTATTCACAGAGAAGAAACATCAGGGAAGTAAACTAAGACAGTATAAAGAGTGTTAGGTGATCATGATGAGTTCTGAAAGTCAAAGACAATATTCATTCTAGGAAATAACAAGGGCTCTTCTGCTAGACTTATCTGGTTTTGAATGTTGGTTGTGCTACTTCTAGTCATATGATTTTGGGTAAGACAGTCAACCTTCCTTATCTGTAAAATGGGGGTGGTAATATTTACCTTGAAATCATGTTGTGTAGATAAGAGATAACATGTATTTAGCATACAGCTCATGGTAGGCACTCAGTTGTCGGTAATTATCATTGTATTTTTGTTATTATTACAAGTGCCCAGGAAAGGTTATTACTACTAACATCCCAACAGGGGTAGAGACAGGCTAAGGAAAAGAGAGATGTGGAGATGGGGCTGGGAGGAGGGGGGAAGGGCAACTCAGAATGGGAGCCGAAGAAGTGGAAACACAGAGTTTACACTACTATTTAAAGAACTTGGCAATGAAGGGATAAAGAAACAGCATAAGGGTGAGGTTGATTATGTAGTCAGTAGAAGTATAGGTGTGAATGAAGCTAATGGAAATGGCTGGATTTAGAAAGGAAAAATGATACTTCTTTCTCAGAAAACTAAGAGATACATCTTCAGTAATGGTTAAATATATATGAGGAAAGGCATTTCCTGAACTTGAAGAGTTCTGTTTTTATTTTCAACAATACATGTATAAATTCTTTTTTAAATGGTACTAAATAATCTTACTTCTTCCTCCTCTTCCTGTTCCTTCTCAAATTTCTTATCCTCCATACTTTCTTCTTCATCCTCATTAAAAGACAAGCTTATTTTAGGCTCAATTAATTTTTTTATAATGTCCTGTGAGATAAAACAATATTATAATTATAACTTAGTGTATGTAAATATTTTAATGCTATATTAGCAATTATTCATTCAAAAATATTTAAAGGACACTAATCCTGCAACTGAGCCTGTGTAATAAGGATAGTACTAAGGATACAAAAGTTAATACGAATGGTCTCTGCCGTGCCCTGGCCGGTTTGGCTCAGCGGTTAGAGCATTGGTCCACGGACCAAAGAGTTGCAGGTTCGATTCCAGTCAAGAGCACATACCTTGGTTGCAGTTCGTCCTGGCCCTGATTGGGGTCGTGCAGGAGGCAACCAGTCAATGTGTCCCTCTCACATCGATCTTTCTCTCTCTCTATCTCTCTCACCCTCCCTCCCTCCCACTCTATCTGATGATAAATAGAAAAATATCCTCGGTTAAGGATTAAAAAAAAAAAAGAATGATCTCTGCCCGTAAGAAGCTTACAATTTAGTGGACAAGGAAATGCTATGGATACATATAGTCAAATACTAGAAATAACTAATCTTGATCAAGTAGCAGTTGGGGGTAAAAGAGGGGGTTGGTAATGTCTGAGTTTCTTCTTGAAGAGTGAGTAAAAGAAAAATAGATGGGGGACTTCCGCTCAAGATGGCGGGTAGGTAACTGCAGTATCGCGTCCTCCCACAACCACATCAAAGTTACAACTAAACTACAGAACAACTATCATTCAAAACAGCCTGAAATCAAGCTGAATGAAGTCCTACAACTACGGAATTGAAGCAGCAGCCACACAGAGACTGGTAGGAGGGCGGAGGGGACGGGCCGGTCCCACACCCACGTGTGGCGGATAAAAATCAGGAGGACAACTCGGCTGGGAAGGTCCTCCCTGAGGACTGAGGGGTCCCCGGCCCACACCAGACGCACCACTCAGGGTCCCAGTGCCAGGAAGAGAATCCCCATCACTTCCGCTGGAAAAACCAGTGGGAACTGAGGCTCAGGGAGGCTGAGGCGGCTGGAGCCCCAGGCAGCTCCTTAAAGGGCCCGCGCATGGACTTATCGAACTCTCTCCCTCTAAGCTTGGAGGGGAGGCAGCTCGAGGGGCGCCAGAGACACACAGGGAAGGACTGAGCTGTTTGGCACTGGAGCGAGGGCTGGAGAGGGGGCTTTCTCCGGGACAGAGGTGCTGTCAGAGGCCTTTGCTCCCTTAGTGAGCCCTTCCCTGCGGTGGTAGACAGCCGCCATATCTGGGACTCCAGTAACCTGGCTCACACTGGTAGCCCCGCCCTGGTGACCCTGCCCCACCCAACTTTCAGGCCCACCCAAGCTGTTGCCAGTTGCTTTACCATAGAATTAATTGGCCTGTCTTGGATCCTGCTTTAGGTTTTCCTAAATTCTTTCAAACAAGCAGCATCTGGTCTCAGCTAGCCCCATACCTCTCGTTAAGTAATACACAAAAACAAACACAGGGAGGCAGCCGTAATGAGGAGACAAAAAAACAGGTCCCAAATGAAAGAACAGAACAAAACCCCAGGTAAAGAACTAAGGGAAATGGAGATAAGCAACCTAACAGATGCTGAGTTCAAAATACTGTTTATAAGGATGCTCAATGAACTTAGTGAGGGCCTCAAGAGCATAAAAAAGGACCAGTTAGAAATGAAGGAGGCACTAACTGAAATAAAGAATAATTTACACAGATTCAATAGTCGAGAAGGTAAAGCCGAGAAGGTAAAGCCAAGGAGCAAACCATCGATTTGGAATACAAGGAAGCAAAAAACACCCAATCAGAACAGCAGAAAGAAAAAAGAATCCAAAAAAATAAGGATAGTATAAGGAGCCTCTGGGACAACTTCAAGCGTGCCAACATTCGCATCTTGAGGGTGCCAGAAGAAGAAGAGCAAGAACAAGAAATTGAAAACCTGTTTGAAACAATTATGGCAGAAAACTTCCCTAACTTGGTGAAGGAAACAGACATACAAGTCCAGGAAGCACAGAGAGTCCCATACAAGATGAACCCCAAAAGGCCCACACCAAGACACATCATCATCAAAATGCAAAAGGTTAAAGACAAAGAGAGAATCTTAAAAGCAGCAAGAGAAAAGCAGTTAGTTACCTACAAGGGAGTTCCCATAAGACTGTCAGCTGATTTCTCAAAAGAAACTTTGCAGGCCAGAGGGGAGTGGCAAGAAATATTCAGAGTGATGAAAAGCAAGAATCTACAACCAAGATTACTCTATCCTGCAAAGCTGTCATTTAGAATCGATGGCCATATAAAGACTTTCCCAGACAAGAAAAATCTAAAGGAGTTCATCACCACCAAACCATTATTATATGAAATGTTGAAGGGTCTTTTTGAAGAAAAAGATAAAATATATGAACAAACAAAATGGCAATGAATACATATCTATCGACAATGGAATCTACAAACAAAATGAACAGGCAGAACAGAAACAATCTCATAGATACAGAGAACATTTTGTTGGTTGCCAGATGGGAGGGGAGTTGGGGGGAATGGGTGAAAAATGTGAAGGGATTAAGAAGAACAAATTGGTTGCTAGACTGACAAACATCAAAGAGAAGGGGTTTGGGGGTGGGAGGAAATAAACCAAAGAACTTATATGCACAACCAATGGACACAGACAATACTGTGGGAAAAAGCAGGAGCAGGGCAGGAGTGGGGAGGAGGGGGTCAATGGGGGGGGGAAATGAGGAACATCTGTAATACATTCAACAATAAAGATAAAAAAATAAAAAACAACTCTAGCAAATAGAAAAAATAATAATAAAGCTTCGTTTCTACACTGCAAAAAAAAAAAAGAAAAAAGAAAAATAGATGTACACAATCGGCTCTGATGGCAGTGGTACTGTAGTTCAACAGGACAGAACCTTAGGGGCAGATAGACAAGGGCACAATCATGGTATGTCATGCCAGGAAGACTGGACTTTATCCTGAAGGCAATGAGATACAAAAGGGAGAGGACAGTGAACACGGAATGAAGTGCTTAAAAGAAGAAATAACACTGACGGGAAGACTAGGCTGCAGGGGAGGAGGAAGGGTATGTGCAGAAGCAGGTAAGCCTGAGGACATGCCTCAGGAAGTGGCAGGCTGCTACCCGCTGAAAGCCATCCTTTATGAAGTGGGAGACAAAATCATTCACCAAGAAAGTGAGGAGAGCTGTTTGGGTAGATGACCCTCTCCCTGAGAAGAGAGAAGAGCTGCCAATGCTCTGGTCAGAGCTGAAATTCTCTTCTGATAAGAAAGAGTAAGAGAATGAGGATTCAGAACATTGATTGGACAAAGCTGCTGACCCCTTATCAATTAAAATACAGGAAGACCTGAATAACGACACGTGCTAGCACATGACAAATACCTCTTCTTCAAGTAGGTCTTCCTCTTCTTCATATGTCAATAACTTTGTTTTTCTGCCTTTGATCCTAGAAAGGAGGTGAGAGCATGTGGTGATCCACTCATAACATTCTCTCTGAGAAGAGAGAAGAAGATCATTACTAAGCAGAAGAAATCAGAGTACACTAACTCTTTTATTCATTCACTCCTATTGAGGAGCTGCTAAATACAATTCCTCTAAATATAACTCTATCAATGAACATTATATCGCTTCAGTTCACAGATCTGTATATGAATATAGACCTAAAATCCTATCATTGCTTATCAGTATCATTATAATGGGACAAGGAGTGGTGAAGTGTCATAAAATCAGATGTAGAAACACTGTTGGATTTACTATGGGCAAATGGTCTGTCCCAACAAATATGCAACTGACCAGGTCAACTGTAATTGCTTAACATGAACAATAAAAATAGTAAACACTTAACATGGCGCTTAATTATAAGCCAGACTCTGTTCTAAGTATTGTACATATATTAACTCATTTGATCCTCAATATGATACATGTACTTTTTTTAAGGTATAATTGAAATAACACTACACTAGTTTCATGTACAACATAACTAACCAAGATGTATATATATTATCAAATGATCACCACAATAAATCCAGTTAACATTTATCATCATAGTTACAAAATTTATTTTCTTGTGATGGGAACTGAGATATATTCTATTATTATCCTCATTGCTTTAGATGAGGAAACTAAGGGATCAAACAATTGAATATCTTGCTTAAGGTCATATATATAGTTAAACATGATAGTAGGATTCTAATCCAGGTGGCCTGGGCTCTTAACCACTTCAAAAATATCACCCTGACCCAAATAAAGTGAATGAATAAAGATTTGAAGTACTGTTTTTTAAAAAGGGCTCACCCCTTATCTATTGAGGTACAGAAAGGTCTATAGAGGGTCTCACCCACCAAAGTGAATATTAAAACTATATTTACTTTACCAATATTGCCTCACTGCTAAGATCTAGCTTCAATGTTTTATTTAAAAGATTCCTGCCCTGGCCGGTTTGACTCAGCGGTTAGAGCATCGGCCTGCGGTCCGGAGAGACCCGGGTTCGGTTCCCGCTAAGGGCACGTACTTCGGTTGCAGTTTGTCCCCGGCCCTGGTTGGTCGTACGGTGGCAGCCACTCGATGTGTCCCTTTCACATCGATGTTTCTCTCTCTCTGTCTCTTCCTCGCTCTCCCTCCCACTCTATCTGTACAAAAAATGGAAAAATGTCCTCGGGTGAGGATAAAAAATAAATAAAAATAAATAAATAAATAAATAAAAGATTCCTACCCTGGCCGGTTTGGCTCAGTGGTTAGAGCGTTGGCCTGCGGTCCAGAGAGACCCGGGTTCAGTTCCCACTAAGGGCACGTACCTTGGTTGCAGTTTGTCCCCAGCCCTGGTTGGGTCATGCGGGTGGCAACCACTCGATGTGTCCCTTTCACATGGATGTTTCTCTCTCTCTCTCTCTCTCTCTCTGTCTGCAACCACTCGATGTGTCCCTTTCACATGGATATTTCTCTCTCTCTCTCTCTCTCCCTCCCTCCCTCCCTCCCTCCCTCTCACTCTCTCTGAACAAAAAATGAAAAAAAAAATGTCCTCAGGTGAGGATAAAAAAATAAAAATAAAAAAAATAATAAAATAAAAGATTCCTTATTAGGCCCAGCTGGTGTGGCTCAGTGGTTGAGCATCTACCTATGCACCAAACGGTCTCTGGTTTGATTCCTGGTCAGGGCACATGCCCAGATTGTGGACCAAATCCCCAGGGGTGCATGCAGGAGATGGCCAATTGATGTTCTCGTTCATCAACGTTTCTATCTCTCTCTCCCTCTCCCTTCCTCTTGCTCTAAAAAAAAAAAAAAAAAAAAAATCAAAGGAAAAAAAACACTTAAAAAAAAAAAGATACCTTATTAGTGAGTAAAAACAGAGGGAACTAGTAAACTAGGGAAGGAGATTTGGTCACTTTAACCATAAAAAAACTGTACTGTGTGGTGAAATAATGACCCACTCTAGGTCCCTAATATCAACTACAAAAAGCAATAGTATGTCATATTTTTCTCTTTATTAGACTTTTTTTTTTTTTTGGTACGTGCCCCTAGCCACTAGGGCCTAGCGGGAACTGAACCCGGGACTCTCTGTAGGCCAACGCTCCAACTGCTGAGCCAAACCAGCCAGGGCTAGACTTACTTTAATTCTGGAATTATTATGAAATGTCAGAGCCAAAAGAGTTTAGAAGTAAAATCCAAACCCTTATGTTATAGATTAGAAAACGGAAGTCTAAAGAGGAAAAGTTAGTTCACCACAGTTTTGTTAATGTCACTTATAAGTTTAGATTCTGCATTCAAAGGGTTAGGATGATGTCTTATTGCATATCAGAAAGAGGATCCAAAAAGGGATACAAAATTACTGGGTTCTAGTCCTAAATTCACCTAATTAGCTTTGACTTCTTGAGTAAACTCTTAATAGTTTTCATCTATTAAAAACAAATGAGGGAAAATGGTGGCAGAGTGAATAGAAGCTACACAGACCATCTCCCAGGACCAAACTGGAATTACAACTAAAATAAAGACAAAGCATTGGGAAAAACCAACAGAAAAGCAGCTGGAGAGAACCCGCACAACCAGGGACAGAAAGAGGACACCAAATCGAGCCTGGAAGGAACTTGGAGGCATGGGAGGGGAGGCTGGGAGCCCACGGACAGCAGGTGAGGGCTGTATTAGCTGTGTGCACTTCCCGCTGAGAAAGCGGGGTTTTTAAAAAGCACCAAATCAGCTACAGCCACTCACCTTGGGCTCCAACAGAGGGAGGGTGGACTGGACTGAGATTGTGTGGAGAGAGTCTAGGGCTCCTGGCTCAAAAGATAGCTAGAGGGGAGGACACCGGGAGTTTTGTGCTGAATCACTCCCTCACAGGACAGTAGCTATATTACTCAAAGAGCTCCTTCCCAGAGCCCCTCCTACAGGAATTCAACACCACCAGGCCAGGCCAGAGAAATGCAAACTGAGGCTCATTAACATCAAGTCTGATAGCAAGCAAGTACCCCACCTGCTGGAAATCCTCTTACACCTGAGGGATTTTTCATTCAGCTGAGGACTACAAATTGAGGCTGATCAAGTAACTGAGATGAATAGCCTACAGGCAAAAAGCTAGAAGATAATAGAACCTTACCTTGGCTTATAAATCCACCCAGGAAAATAAGACTTGACAGTGGTGTTTATCATGGGTCCTCCCACACTCATCCAAAACCAGTAGAGGGAGCCACAACCAGTGAAACACCAACATCCACAGGGAAAATTTGGCAGGCTCCAAAACCCACTGAGACAGCCAAAATGATGAAACAAAGAAACAAATCCCAAATGAAAGAACAAGATAATTCTCCAGGAGAAGAAAAAAATGACATGGAATTAAGCAAGATATCAGAGGGAGAGTTCAGAATAATCATCATGAAGAAGTTCAACAGCATGAGTAAAGATATAGAGACACTGAAAATCAACCAATTAGAAATGAAGAATGATGTAGCAGAAATAAAGAACACATTGGAAGGAATAACCAGCAGAGTAGAGAAAACCAAAGCCCAGATCAGTGAATCAGAAGACAGGGTAGAAAAAAATCACCTAGTCAGAGAACCAAAAAGAAAAAACAATTAAAAAACAGGAAGACAGCCTAAGAGAACTGTGGCTCAACATGACACATAACAACATCCACATCATAGAAGTTCTAGAAAAAAGAAGAAAATGAGCAAGGGTTAAAGAATATATTGGAAAAAAATAGTGACAGAAAACTTCCCTAGCTTGGTGGAAAAAAAGGCATACAAGTTCAAAGAGCACAGAGAGCCTGAAGTAAGAAGAACTCAAAGAGGCCCACAGCAAGACATATAATAATTAAAATGCCAAAAATTAAAGACAAAGAAAGAATGCTAAAGGCAACAAGAGATAAGCAACAGGTTAACTACAAAGGAATCCCCATAAGGCTATCAGCTGACTTCTCAGCAGAAACACTACAGGCCAGAAGGTAATGGCATGAAGTAATCTAGGTAATGAAAAACAAGGATCTGAATCCAAGATTACTCTATCCAGGAAGGCTATCATTCAATATAGAATGTGAAATGAAGAGCTTCCCTGACCAAAAAAGGCTAATCCACCACTCTAAGAAATGTTCAAAGGACTGCTATAAATAAGTAGAAGAAATAGAGAAACATAACCATAATGAACAAAATTGGCAATAAATAAGTACATATGAATAACCTTAAAACATGAATGGATTAAACACTCCAATCAAAGACACAGAGTAGCTGAATGGATAAGAAAGCATGACTCACCCTGGCCGGTTTGGCTCAGCGGTTAGAGCGCCGGCCTGCGGTCCTGAGAGACTCGGGTTCGGTTCCCGCTAAGGGCATGTACCTCGGTTGCGGTTTGTCCCCGGCCCTGGTCAGTCGTGCGGGTGGCAGCCACTCGATGTGTTCCTTTCACATCGACGTTTCTCTCTCTCTCTCTGTTCCTCTCTCTCCTTCCCACTCTACCTGAACAAAAAATGGAAAAATGTCCTCGGGTGAGGATAAAAAAAAAAAAAGAAAGCATGACTCATATATATGTTGTTTACAAGAGACTCACCTCACAACAAAAGACTTACATAGGTTGAAAGTGAAGGGATGGAAAAAATTTTTCCAAGCAAACGGAAAGGAAAAAAAAGCTGGGGTAGCAATACTTATATCCGATAAAATAGACTTCAAAATGAATAACTAGAAACAAAGAAGACCACTACATAATATTGAAAGGATCTATCCAACAGGAGGATATAACCTTGGTAAACATATATGTACCCAACATAGGAGTATCAAAATACATTTTATTTATTTATTTATTTATTTATTTATTTATTTATTTGGTACTTTCCCCTAGCGGGAACTGAACCCAGGACTCTCTGGACTCGCAGGATGACGCTCTAACCGCTGAGCCAAACTGGCCAGGGCCCAAAATACATTTAAAAACTTCTGGCCCTGGCTGGTTTGGCTCACCGGTTAGAGCACTGGCCCGCAGACCAGAGAGACCCGGGTTTGGTTCCCAATAAGGGCACGTACATCGGTTGCAGTTTGTCCCCAGCCCCGGTTGGGTGGCAACTGTGGGTGGCAACCAGTCTCTGTGTGTCTTTCGCATCGATGTTTCTCTCTCTCTCTCTCTTCCTCCTTCTCGCCCTCCCATTCTATTTGAAGATAAATGCAAAAATGTCCTCGGGTGAGGATAAAAAAGAAAAATAAACTTCTGGAGGACTTCAAAGGAGAAATCAACAGCAATACAATCACAGCAAGGGACTTCAATAACCCATTGACCTCACTAAATAGTTCCTCTAAACAAAAAATTAACAAGGAAACAGAGACTCTAAAAGATGCACTAGGTCAAATGGAGTTAATACATATCTACAGAGACTTATACCCCAAAACTACAGAACTCACATTCTTCTCAAGTGCACATGGGACATTCTCAAAGATAGACCATATATTAGGACACAAACTAAGTCTCTACAAGTTCAAAAAGATTGAAATCATATCAATATCAAGCATCTTCTCAGATCACAATGGCATGACACTAGAAATTAGTTACAACAAAAACACGCAAAAATATTCAAACATATAGAGGCTAAATAGCATGTTATTAAACAATGAATGGGTTACCAAAAAGATCAAGGAAGAAATTTTAAAAATCCTGGAAACCAATGAAAATGAACACACAACAACACAAAATCTATGAGATGCAGCGAAAGCAATCCTGGGAGGGAAGTTCACAGCACTACAGGCCTACCTCAAGAAACTAGAAAAATTTCTAATTGACTTTCCAACCCTACAACTTAAAGAACTAGAAAGTAAACAAAAAGAAAAATCAAGAACAAGTAGAAGGAAAGAAATAGTAAAGATCAGAGCAGAAATAAACAACATAGAGACTAAAAAACAATTCAAGAGATCAATGAAGCCAAGAGCTGGTGTTTTGAAAAGATAAACAAGATTGATGGACCCTTAACCAGACTCATCAAGAAACAAAAAGAGAGGATCCAAATAAACATCAGAAATGAAAGAGGAGAAGTAACAACTGACACCACAGAAATACAAAATGTCATTAAAAAATACTATGAGCAAGTATATGCCAACAAATTGGACAATTTGGGCAAAATGGACAAATTTCTAGAAACACAGTCTCCCAAAAGCCAACAAGGAAGAAATAGAAAACTTGAACAGACCAATAAGGATATTGAAGATGTAATCAAGAAACTCCCAGCAAACACAAGCCCAGGCCTAGACAGCTTAACAGGAATTTTACCAAACATTCAAAGAAGGTCTAACACCCATTCTCCTCAAACCATTACAAAAAATTCAAGAAGACGGAAGACTTCCAAACTCATTTTATGAGGTCAGCATAATTCTAATTCCAAAACCAGATAAAGACACTACAAAGAAAGAAAACTACGGGCTAATATCCTTGATGAACACAGATGCCAAAATCCTTAACAAAATATTGGCAAATTGGATCCAGCAATACATCGAAAAAATTATTCACCATGACCAAGTGGGATTCATCCCAGGGATGCAAGGTGGCACAATATTTGCAAATCAATAAATGTGATACACCACATAAACAACATGAAAGACAAAAACCATATGATCATATCAATAGATGCTGAAAACATTCGACAAAATCCAGCACCCATTTCTGATAAAAAACACTCAGCAATAAGGGAATAAAGGGATCATATCTCGACATAATAAGGGTCATATGTGAAAAACCTACAGCCAACATCACACTCAATTGGCAAAAACTAAAAGCATTTCCCTTAAGAACGGGAACAAGACAGGAATGCCCACTTTCGCCACTCTTATTTAACATAGTACTGGAAGTCTTAGCCACAGCAATCAGACATGAAGAAAAAATTAAAGAGATCCAGCCCTGGCCGGTTTGGCTCAGCGGTTAGAGCGTCGGCCTGCGGTCCGGAGAGACCCGGGTTCGGTTCCCGCTAAGGGCATGTACCTCGGTTGCAGTTTGTCCCCGGCCCTGGTTGGTCGTGCGGGTGGCAGCCACTCGATGTGTCCCTTCACGTCGATGTTTCCCTCTCTCTCTCTTCCTCTCTCTCCCTCCCACTCTACCTGAACAAAAAATGGAAAAATGTCCTCGGGTGAGGATAAAAAAAAAAAAAAAAATTAAAGAGATCCAAATTGGAAAGGAGGATGTGAAACTGTCGTTACCTGCAGATGACATGATATTGTACATAGAAAACTCTAAAGACTCCATGAAAAATCTACTAGAGCTAATAAATGAAATTGGCAAAGTAGCAGGATACAAAATTAACATCAAGAAGTCAACAGCATTCTTAGATACCAATAATGAACTCACAGAAAGAGAAACTGCTCAAGGTTGGTCGTCCACACTCAGGTTCACTCACACGCTCTCTCACACTCGCTCACTCTCTCACACACTCACCCTCGCTCCAGTCCTGCCCACCACCATTTTCCTCTTTTCTTATTATAGTAATTATGTTACAAGTATATACACATTTTAGAAATTATCAAATTGTTCAAATTAAATATGTGTAGTATGTTGTAAATTAAACCTAAAATGTCTGCTCAAAACAAAAGTAAGGGCAAGACAGAGTTATTACCTTCATCTTATTCAAATCATAAAGTTCCTTAGCAGGATTTTTTTGTAAGTTGCTGCCCATATTCAGAGCCATAGCTGTTAGCATCCCTTTGCAACAACTGGAAAACAAAACAAAACACACAGCATGATCCATGACCTATTATTGTTGGTTCTTCTCCTAGATGTTTTAAGTCCAAATACAGTGGAAGTTTACCATAATAATTAAGCTACTGAACCACCAAAGAGCATAATTTGCCTCTTTCTCAGTGTCTCACCCTTGTCCTCTTCCTTCCATTCCTCTCACTTTTTTTTTTTTTTTTTATCCTCTCCCAAGGATATTTTTCCATTTTTTGTACAGATAGAGTGGGAAGGAGAGAGAGGGAAACATCGATGTGAAAGGGACACATCGAGTGGCTGCCACCCGCACGACCAACCAGGGCCGGGGACAAACTGCAACCGAAGCACGTGCCCTTAGCGGGAACCGAACCCGGGTCTCTCCGGACCGCAGGCTGACGCTCTAACCGCTGAGCCAAACTGGCCAGGGCCATTCCTCTCACTCTTGATCATTGGTAACATTGAATGGGAATGAAGTGGGGAATTGACTAGATTTAAAAAGCTCCTTCCCAAATTTGAAGTAATCATAGCAACAGTATGCTTACTAGTTAATATTTTACAATTTTTCAGACCTCATCTTTATTTGGTAGGATTCTCTAGCTTTCCAAATATAAGAATTTCTGTATTTTTGTTATTTTTAAAAGATATGTTTTGACATTTACACAATGGAATACTACTCTGCCGTAAAAAGGAAGAAAATGTTACTCTTTGCAACAGCATGGATGGACCTAGAGAACATTATGCTAAGTGAAATAAGCCAATCAGAGAAAGACAAGTACCATATGATTTCAAACATATGTGAAATTTAATGAACAAACTGAATCACCAAGCAAAATAGAGACAGACTCATAGATAGAGAGCAGGCAGACAGCTCTGGGGTGGGGTAGGGTGGAGGAGTTGAGCAAAAAAGAGAGAGAGAACTCATGGACATAAACAGCAGTGTGGTGTTTGTGGGGGTGGAGAGGGATGGGTGGAAGAGGACATGGAATAAATGATGACTGAAAAAATTACATTAAATTAAAAATTTTTAAATGAGATGTTTTGGTTGGTGTGTATTGAAATATATAAAAATATACATTCAGCTTTGCATGAAATTACACAGGAAACTATAAGCTTCTTCATAAATGCCCCTAGCCTGGGCAAAAGTACACATCTCTTACTGATGCAAGTTAAGTGGGTCTTTTTATTACTTTACTAGTTGTCACTTCCACATCTGTATATACCTCTCATCCTGCCCGTGCTAACAGTTTTCAAAAGAATTCTAAAGCCATTAGGAAAACACCAAAATCTCATATTCCAACTGGGTAGTGTTGAAGCTAGTTTAAAAACTGAACTAGTGCATCTTTCAAGGTTTTAAAACAATTCCTTATTGCTGCTACTTCAATGTCCTTCTCTGCTTTATGTCACATTTATCTTCAAAGGGGCAAGAATAAAGAAAAGTTTTACCTGTTCAAATAACTGGAGTATCGGGACAACTTTCTTGCCAGTGCAGTTGCGTCCAGCTCTAACTTTGCAACTCCTAGATCCCGTTTTTCAGCACTTGCCTCCTCCAACTTTGGGAGAGTGTCTTTGTCAGTAAAGTCAGGTACCATTAATATCAGCAAATACACCATCCACTTGATCATAGATATATGCAATTCATCCATCTGTTAAAAAATATTTTAATACAAATGGCTCATTTTAAATAAATCAAACAGTAAAAACCATGCCAAATTTAAAAATAGAAATTATCATATCTGTGTTAATTTTAAACACTATCATTCTTTTTTTTTTTTTCTTTATTGATTTTAGAGAGAGAGGAAGGGGAGCGAGAGATAGAAACATAGATGAGAGAGAACATCGATTGGCCACCTCTGGGGATTGGGCCCACAACCTGGGCATGTGCCCTGATTGGGAATCAAACTGGTGACCTCTTGGTGCATGGGTCGATGCTCAGCCACTGAGCCACACTGGCTGGGCCTTTTTTTTTTTTCCTTAAATTTTTTTTTCTGTAAATATTTTTTTTTCTTTATTTATTTGAGAGAGGAAGGGAGAGGGAGAGGGAGAAAACAGAAACATCGATGAGAGAGAACACGGACTGGCTGCCTCCCGCATGCCCCCAACTGGACATTTGGCCCATAACCTGGGCATGTGCCCTGACTGGGAATCGAACTGGAGACCACTGAGCCACACCCGTCGGGCAACACTATCATTCTTAATGAAAGTAAATCATGACTACTCAGCTGGTATAACCTTATATTTTTTTGCTCACTATACTATATTAATCTCTTCTTTGGCTTGGTCAAGGGTAGTAAAGCTGCAGTTCCCAAATTATACACCAAGGCATCCCAAGGCTCTACAGTGATTGAGACATTAAATTTTACAAACTTTATTTCAGCAAACAACAATCGGGCAATGCCAAAACTGGAAAGTGGTTAGGGGCGCTCTGTGGGCAGGAGGTAGGGCAGAGATTTTATAGAGAAGACGCTGAAGCAAAGCAATTATTTAATTGCCTATAATTATTTAAATGTTTGCCTTATCTGGGCAAATTATTTGGCTGTTATGATCATTGTTCTTGAGTTTCATTTTTCCATATTAGAGAAAATCTAGCTGACTGCTTATGATCAGCTGTTGTTGAGTTTTGTTTTCTTAGATGCCAGTGCACTGACTCTAGCTTTGGTTTGTTTACATAGGTTTCCAAAGGCAGTGGAGCTGCCTTAGTCCAATGGCCTCCTTGTTTTAGCTATTTTAACATTTTTTAAATTTTCCAGTTACTACGTTGTTAGAACATAAATACTCAGTAAGTTGTTTGAACCTACCTACTTAATAAACTGAACTGGGTGGTATTTCTTTGGCTGAGGAGTATGAAAATACTAGGGCACAAAGGGTACTGTGAATGGAGAACGTTTGGGAACTTCTGTATTAGGGTGTTTCCTGAGGTTGGGTGCCAGAAATAAAATGCAAATGCCAAGCACACCATGCCCTTGAAATGCTCAGCCTCCTTCTCTATCTGGTGAGTTCCTAGGTATTCTTCTATGCTTCAATATGATCTAATCGGAGAAGATTTTTTAACTTCCACTGGCTTTTAATCTGCTCCTTTTCCTATGTTTCTGTAGTACTTTGCACATTTTTCTGTTATAATTGCACATACGAAATGTTCATCCTATTTCATTCAAAAATTATTGAGTCCCACTATGTATATGCCAGGCATTCTGCTCCCCTTTTAAAATTAATTTAGATTGTCTTCCAAATCACAGAAATTTCTCCCGACCCAGGTCCATATTCCAGTCTTAACATATTGCTCCTCAACTCTTGTTATATATATATATATATAATGTGCTGACAGACTGTGATATAATATAATGTTTAATAAGTTGTATTCCCATATAACTGATGAACTCTGCCTTTCAAATTTAGATTATGATTTAGATTATAATTTAATTTAGATTTAAGATTAATTAGATTTAATTAAGATTAATTTAATTAATTTAGATTATAATTAAGACCAGGAGGTGGGAGTAAATGTAATAAACTAAGAAATCCTCTAAAAATGATTTCATGTCATGCTAGCTAAGAAGTCCACAGGCTCAGCCCTGGCCAGTTTGGCTCAGCGGTTAGAGCGTCGGCCTGCGGTCCAGAGAGACCCGGGTTCGGTTCCCGCTAAGGGCACGTACATTGGGTGTGGTTTGTCCCTGGCCCTGGTTGGGCCCTGCGGGAAGCAGCCACTCGATGTGTCCCTTTCGTGTCAATCTCTCTCTCTCTCTCTCTCTCTCTCTCTCTCTCTCTCTCTCCTTCCCACTCTAGCTGAATAAAAAATGGAAAAATGTCCTCAGGTGAGGATGAAAATAAAAAAGAAGTCCACAGGCTCAGTTCTTCAGAATTACAGAAAAATTCTATTTGTTCTAATAAATATAGACCAATAGTACTGTGGCATCTTGTCTTTCCTCCTAGTAATATGTTTCTGTCATCCTTTCAGCCAGGCAGGGGCACTAACATAAATCCTTAATATGGCCACATCCTTATTAAGGGAAAAATATTCAGTATACAAAGTAAAAAGTAATGCTAATAATTAGAACTCAATAATTCCTATCATCTCTAAAACTTCATTCTAGAGGCAGAAACATAGTGCATTTAAAAATCCATTAAAAATCATTTGAGTAATTATGTAAGTTCCCATTTTGCCCTCCCAACCTCCTGCTTTAAATGTATAGTCATGACCTGATTTTTCCTTGAAAACTCCCAGCCAAGGCAAAATTAACCTCACAAATCCCTGTAAGTACGTACATGGCGCTGAAGTTCAGTGTTACTGTTATTAATCTCATTGCCTATATTCTGATGCCATTTTTGAATCATGTTAAATATCTGTGCTTCAAGTACCCTGAAGGAAAAATTAAGTAAAATAAAGATAAGTGACTTACTTAGAATATAAAAGTAACTGTTAGTTAAAAGAAAGGGTTTTATTTGGGTGGGCCTAATAAACTTAGTGTTGACAACTGTTTGAGAACTCAGGGAAAGGTGAATGAAAGCCTTGAATTATCTGGTATATTGGCTAACTTGCCAGCATGGCTTCCTAACACCAATAGCAACCAGCATGATGCCTTTTGGACAATAAAGATTTTACCTTCAGTGTTAGCTCTCCACTGAAAAAATCACACTCTCACCCTTTATATTCCCTTCTCGACCAGTGAGACCATAAAGCTAAGAAGAATGAACTTTCAAATTCTCTCAAGAGATCAGCTTCCGGCATGACAGTGTAAAGAGCAAAGCTGACCCATCCCTCAGTGAAACTGGGGAGAATTCTTTAAAAAAAAACAAACACAAAAACTCAAAAGCCTCTGGAAATGGTCCTAAGAACAAATAGCAACTGAAGCAACATCTATTCAAGACAGTCTGTGAAGATTCAGTAAGAAAGGTCAGAGTCCATGGTGTCTGAACTAAGACTACCCCCACTCTTTCCTCCCAGCTCAATGAGGCAGAAAATCCGCCGCGGACTGCTGCAGTCACGAACACAGGACGCCCTCACTTTCCTGCTCCCAGCCAAATGGCTTTTTTCCTGGAAGGCACAGGACTTCAAGGTTTCTCATATGACCCCATCTACCTGTTGCTGAGGCGAGGTACTGGGAAAATGCAGTTAAGAAGTGGGGATTCCCTTCTGCCCAGCAGAGACCTATGGGAACTTACGAGCCAGAATCTGTGTCTAAGTACTGTGGAACAGTACCAATAATGTTTAACAATGCATCCAACTGAGATATCATTTCACTGGTTTTTTCATTAAGTTCCTCCTGTTCTTTAAGAAGCATTTCAGGAAACTCTTGGTTTTCCATCTTGAAACAACAGAAGTCAAGAGAACTAATCACACTTGTAATAATTTTAGCGCTACCTAGAAAAGTGAGAAAAGCATTAATTGCCAGAAGTATTTGTAAGTCTACTATTTCAATAATAAACTATAAAATACTAATGGGCAGGGGCATATCTTTTTTCATCTTTTTATTATCCTACAGATTGCTTAGTAAAAATCTTGTAAAAAGTAGTTCCTAAATGTTTAGTTGAATAAACACTGTAAAATTGGTGTTTTTCTGATTGATGGACTATCTCTGTGATGAAAACTTATACTCTAAGTATCTTGTCTTCTCAGCTGAGAACCAAATACATTAAACCCAGAAACTATGAACTACAGTTTTCTGTAAAAGGCATTAATTCATTGTCTTTCTGTTAAGAAGAAAATGATGATAAACAGGTTCTTCATGATTATAGGATAGTTAATAAGAGAAAAGAGAATATTGTTCTTGAGATATTTTTTAAGTCATTGTTCAGGTTTCTATGAAGTTTATAGTTTTAGTCTAAACCAGGATCAAATATGGATCCTAATCTTTGAATGATTCACTGTGAGATCATGGCAAAATAACCTCTTATCTCATTTGCAAAATAAGAAATAAAAATGCTCCCATCTCAGAGAAATATAAAAAAAAAAAAATAACTTAAAAGCAAACTTTTTCTTATTCTTGATGAAAATATTTGTACTTCCTTCATTACTAAACTTTTATCTCTTAGGAGTATTCAAAGTGATCTGTTAATTTCACTATCACTTATCATTTTGACTCCTCATTCATTTTTTTTTTTTTTTTTTTAATCCTCACCTGAGGACATTTTTCCATTTTTTAATCAGATAGAGTGGGAGGGAGAGAGAGGAAGAGAGAGAGAGAAACATCGATGTGAAAAGGACACATAGAGTGGCCTCCACCCGCACGACCAACCAGGGCCAGGGACAAACTGCAACCGAAGTACATGCCCTTAGCGTGAACCAAACCCGGGTCTCTCTGGACCGCAGGCCAACGCTCTAACCATTGAGCCAAACCGGCCAGGGCGACTCCTCATTCTTTTAATCCATTTACTAACTCATTTTTGACTGCCCACTATATGCACATTCTCATGGAGAAGTATTGCCATTTTATCTCTAACTATATTAGTGCTACTACAGATAATTAGGATTGTGTTTTCCCATCTAGAGTAGTTTGAGGTTGAACAACAGTGGTAGTCAATGCAGCCGAATTGCCTGGAACTCTTTACTAAGAAGGATTGATTCTTAAGTAACAAATGACATGGCAACTAAAGATGCTTTGATGGATTTGAATGTCTCTCATGGGTTTCGGAAGAGTGAATTTTCAGTATCTCATGGCAAACTGGGATATTTGGTCACCTCACTGGGGAAATAAAATTGAAATTCAAAATCTGCTAATGAGTACAGGCCCTGGAAAATGCACCAGGCTTTAACTGGGGACACCTGAATCCCTTAGAAGTAACGGTGAAACAGAACAGACCAGCCCTGTAACACCTGGAGCCACACTTCATCTCAGCTCAGTCCCTGTGTGGGTTAAAATGATTTGCCTCTACTCGAAATAATCTAAAATCATTTTAATAATGATTAAAATAATAATAACTAATTAGCAACTAAAATCACTCTTTTGAAATATAGCATTATCCAGAGTCTTAAATTATTTCTAGAATGTATCACACACAATGTCCAATATCAATATGAAACAGCCAGGAATATGAAAAGAATTGACTCAAAACCAAGACAAATTACAGATAATAAAAAAAGACCTAAGCGAAAAAAAAGGGGGTTGAGGGGTGGAGAGAACTATAGTCATGGAAAACAGTGTGGTGACTGGGGTGGGAGTGGGTGAAAAAGGGTATGGGGGGTGATAAATGGTGATGGAAAAAAATATAATAAAATTTTTAAAAAGACCTAGTATGCCTGAACTAAGATAAGACCATATGTCAACTTTAATTGAAAAAAAAAAAAAAAGAACTACAGGAGAACCAGAACCAGAACCAGATATCACCCAATTATCTAAAACTGATTGTAGTGATGGTTGGACACATCTGTGAATACATACTAAAAATCATCAAATTGTACATTTTATTTTTTATTTTTTTTTTGTCCTTCGAGCACAGGCATGCACTTTATATAATGAAGCAACAATTTGTTCAGTCTGTACTCGGAACAGGTCTTTACAGGCTGCCACTGTTGTGAAAGTCCTTCACTCTGTACCTTCTAATCTAGTGGTTCACTGCCCTAATCATAGTTGCCTCTCTTTTTTTTTTTTTTTTACCTTCTCTACCCAATGTTACAGGACAGCCTGTATCAAATTTTCCATGTGTTCCCAGGTTTAGCATAGTCTGTGGTTTTCATTAAATACTTAAGTAAATTTTTTAAATTAATTAATTTATTTTTGTTACAGATGTCCCTCCCCCCAAATGATACCCCCTTCCACCTCCCTCCCCGCCCTGTCCCCAGCTTTGTTGTCCATGTCCATTGTTCATGCATACATGCATAAAAGTTCTGTGGTTTCTCTCTCCTCCCCCACTCTTCTGGGGATTGTATCAAATTGTACATTTTAAACAGCTGAAATGTATTGTACGAATTATATCTCAATAAAGTGATGCTCAATGGTTTATTTTGCTTCATTTCTAAAACTATATTCATGTATTATCTTGATTTTAAATATTAATTGTATTGAAAATACTATTAAAATCTTTTATGTCAAGCAATCTAATTATCAGTTTTTTTCTTACCATTATCCCCATTTATTCTTAATTCAAATTCTTTGTAAAGTCTTCCTATGCTTTTTATAATTTCCTCCATCTGCTGCTGTTCTGGTGGTATCTCCCCGTCCATACTTTTATGGCGACGAAATATCCCAAGCCCAATATCTGACCAGTTTTCTTGCAAATATTTAATGATCTTGAGAGAATCATATTTTGCCACTAGAAAATCCCCAGTAAACTTGTCTCTATCTTCATTCAGTGTCTAGAGAGTGAAGGTGAGGTAAAGAAATTAGCAAATTATCCATTAATGATTTCATCAAAGTCAACCCAGATCTTTATTTCAATTATTTTGGAGTTAAATATCCTATTATTATTTGTTTATACCATTTACTCCTATGACATACATTTTATTTTCAAATTTAAGTGAATTTAAATTAATTTGCTACCCTATAAAATAATCCATGGCTTATCAGGATGAAAATAATTATCTTAAATCCTACATGGGTAAAAATTCATGACCAGCAATTAAGTCCCAGAGAGCTGAACATGTTTAATTACTATATTATTCGGGGGCCATTGTTTGGTAAGGATATAATCTGTTTACATGATCCCTACTAGACTGGGGAAGTTTCCAAAATGTAATAGTTGTTTTTTATTCATGTTTTATTGGTCTGTCTAACCCCAAGTTCAGCATATCAATAAATATTTGTAGAAAAAAATAAAGTACAATTTCTATGTAAAGTTTGCCATTATCTGTGACTCAGATAATGGAATCAAATCACCCACGTTTCAGTAGGAGTGACCATTACAAGGAAGCTATGTTGCAGAGCATTAAGGGTAGGATTTTTGGAGTTGGAGAGACATGGACTTAAATTCTGATTCAACCATTTACCATTTATAGGTAACTTAGGCAACTTACTGAACACTTCTAAGCTTCACTTTCCACATCTGTGAGAAGGGGATTATAAAACCTGCATCATGTGACTGCCATGAAGAGTAAAGTAAGTATGGAAAGCACTGTTAGCCTAACAGAGTGTTTAATGAATGAGAGTTATTATTATTCCTAGTAAATGAAGAAGCATCATTTCTTTCGATTTTATCTAAGCAATGTTATAATTGCCAGATAAACAGTAAAAAAATCAACAAGTCACTAAACTAGCTATATTTGTATATGGCAACAAACATCTTCAATTCTGAGAATATTCTGCCCAAGTCATTCCAAAAGAAAAGAAAATAGCTTCCTGGGATCTGGATGAGATTTCATCAGGTCATAAGTTTGATATTCACTTTGGAGGACTGTCAGTATCTTACATATTTTCCTCTGTCAAACTACTGTAACATGATAGTAATTTGATTAATAAAACCTATTTTCATACCTCAAACACTTAAAAAGATGTTTTCAATAAACAAAATGTGGTATATACAAACAATGGAATATTATTCAGCCTTGAAAAGGAAGGAAATTTGACACGTTACAACATGAACAAACCTTAAAAACATCACGCTGAAAAAAGGTAGTCAGTCCTAATCTAAATGTTTCCACTTATGTGAGGTGCCTAGAATAGTCAAATTCAGAGAGACTGAAAGTAGAGTGGTGATTGCCAGGACCAGGGAAGGAGGAAATGGGGGAGTTAGTGTTTAATGAGTAGAGTTTGAGTTTGGGAAGATAAAAAAGTTTTGGTGATGGATGGTGGTGATGGTTGCTTAACAGTGTAAATGTACTTACTGTCACTGAACTATACACTTAAAGTGATTAAAATGATAAATTTTATATTATGTAAATTTTACCAGGATTTAAAAAAAGATATTATTAATTTTAAAAGTCCAATTTGTTCTTAAGACAAAATCCTGGAGAAGCACAAATGTTACTACATCTGATAATTAGAGGAAAGAATCAGAACTACCCTCCTGACTACCCAAGTATCTTTTCCCATTTTTTTTCTTACAGCCTAACTTTATTTGACCCAAAAATCTAAAATAGAACTGAAAATAAAATATTTAAGCATATTTTAAAGCCCCTGTAGTCTTGCTTTTTTCCTTGTCTTTCATAAAATTTAGTAAAGCATTATTTTTGTTATTGTTGTTTTGTTGTTAATCCTCACCTGAGGATATTTTTTCCATTGATTTTTAGAGAGGGAAGGGAAAGAGAATGAGAGAGAGAGAGAAACATCAATTTGAGAGAGACATATCAATTGGTTGCCTCCCACATGACCCCAACTGGGCTGGGGATCAAACCCACGACCCTTTGGTCCAAGGGCCAATATTCTAACCACTGAGCCAAACTTGCCAGGGTTAGTAAAGCATTGTTAAAGATTGAGATGTGACTCGATTGGAGGTGAGGAGTGGCAAGTATTTTGATTATCATGCTATTTATTAGAAAGTCTTACCTTTAGCCACAGCTTGAAGTCTGGAAGAACTGATTCAAATATATTTCCTTTATCAGGGGATACACATTTTCTATTGAAAGAAGGAAAAAGACAAAGAGCAGGGTCTCAGAACAAGATATAAAGAAATAAAATCAGCCCTGGCCGGTTTTGGCTCAGAGGGTTAGAGCATCAGCCTGCAGACCAAAGAGTCACAGGTTCTATTCCCATCAAGGTCACATACCTTGGTTGCAGTTCGGTCCTCAGCCCTGGTCAGGGTTGTGTGGGAGGTAACCAGTCAATGTGTCTATCACATCGATGCTCCTCTCCCTCCCCCTCCCTCCTCCCCCTCCCCCTCCCCCTCTCCCTCTGTGATGTGAAAAACTGAAACCACTGTTCTCAATTTTAAACGGAAATGGTACCAAAATGTGTTGAGTCTAGCCTGCATTCAAAGTATAGATTCCCACTAACTTTGGCTATGATTTGGTTATCCAGCCTAGACTTTGCTACGTGATAGGCAGCCTCTTCCTTAAAACTGCCATCCACTGATTCCATTTCTCTGCACATGCACTATGCTACAGAATTTGCAGATAGAGCCATACAGTATTCAAGTTCGCTAATAGTAAAGAGGAAAGAAACAAAAGAAAGAGTTGGACTTTAAACAGAAGTAGCAGCAGACAGACAGAGGAATCAGGATGGACTACCAAGATGATTAGCACTAGAAACCGTAAGACCATTCAAGTTCCTAAAAGGATTGTGCCCTTGTAGGGGTTGCTTGTTACCTTACCAAAATCAATGTTAATATAATCAGAAAAACAAGATTCTTAGAGGCTCACTTATTATCTCTGAAGAACTGCTGCCATTTCATAAGGCCATCCTTAACAATTTGCAATTTCTTCCTTGTAGACTCTTCATTTCCTTCCACTTCATGTCTAAATTTACTCACTAAGTCTGTCCATTTATGTGTCAACTTCTGTAACATCGCAAGGTCTGAAGTGTCCTAGATAAAATGTTTGGAATCAAACCACTTATTCATTGATTCATATAACAAATAGTTATTAGCACACACCAGGCCATCATTCATATTGTAATACTAGAGTCATCCATAGAAAATAGATAAAAAATTAGCTCAGCCGGTGTGGTCTTGGGTTTGATTCCCAGATTGTGGGCCAAATCCCCAGGGGGGGCATGCAGGAGGCAGCCAATAAATGTTCTCTCTCATCGATGTTTCTCTCTCTCTCTAAAATAAAGAAAAAAATTTTTTTAAAGAAAATAGATTAAAAATTAAAAATATATTCCTCGCCTAGCCAGTGTGGCTCAGTGGACTGAGTGTCATCCCATGGACTGAGAGGTCCTGGTTCGATTCCTGGTCAGGGTACATGCCTGGGTTGCGGGCTTGATCCCCAGTAGGGGGTGTGCAGGAGGCAGCTGATGGATGTTTCTCACATTGATGTCTCTCCCTCTCTCTCCCCCTTCCTTTCTCTCTCTAAAATGTGTGTGTGTGTGTGTGTGTGTGTCTATATATATTCCTCTTTTAAAATATTTTCAGTGACACTACTATAGAGTCCCTTTGGTGGTAGATTTTCCATGGCACAAAGTATTAGAGACAAGATATATTTCCTTTTCGACAACAGCCCAATTTCCCCCATAAAACTTTCATGGGAAGTAGTGCAATACATTGGAAAGAACAGAGATTTCAAAGCCAAACAGAACCAAATGTGAATCTTAGACATTTAATTGGCTGTGTAACCTCAGGGAATGCTATTTAATCTAGTTGAGATTAATTTTTTTTAAATTAATATATGTGTGTATTAATATATAGAGTAACTATAAATAACATTTACAGTTTTATTAATTTAAATTGCTTAACTTTCTTTAATTAGGATAGGAAACAAATATAAAGAAGAGCCTTTATTCACCTTTCCTTAGATTTTTCATCCCTCCCATAATAAAGCACAAATACAAAACTATATTTAAATTTTAATCTATAAATTTAGCAAAGCCTTCTTATTGTCTCAACCCTTAACAGCTGGAGTCTCTTTTCCATAATTTAAGGGAAATGAGGTTTACCCTGTTTGACAGCAGTATGATGAAATGCTTAGCATATCTGCTCCAGCCTTTTTCATTGAGGTAAAGTCTCTTAGCCAATATGACTCTATTTCTTTCAATTACCTATTTTAAAAAAAGGACTAAAATTAAAAAGCTGTATCATTAACAAACCACTGAAATTTATTAAACTCAAACCAATTTCACATCAATCATTATCTCAATCATAATTTCTTATATAAATCATGAACTAGTTTGAATCACAAATTCATGTTATCTAAAACTACTAAACTGCAACCAAATTGGAGTATAGTATATAGCAGAGGTTCTCTCACAATTTGATATCAAAAACCCTTTACACTCTTAATAATTATTGAGAACTTTAAAGAGCTTTTCTGTATATGATTATATCTACTGATATTTACTCTATTGGAAATTAAAACTGAAATTATTTCAAAATCTATACTTGTTAATTGACTTAAATATACCATTATAATAAATATATGTTAACATAAATATTATTCTATAGTACCATTTTTTAAAATTTTTTTATCCTCACCCGAGGACATTTTTCCATTTTTTGTTCAGGTAGAGTGGGAGGGAGAGAGAGGAACAGAGAGAGAGAGAGAGAAACATCGATGTGAAAGGAACACATCGAGTGGCTGCCACCTGCACAACCAACCAGGGCCGGGGACAAACTGCAACCGAGGTACATGCCCTTAGCGGGAACTGAACCCGGGTCTCTTAGGACCGCAGGCCGACACTCTAACCACTGAGCCAAACCGGCCAGGGCAACATAAATATTATTTTTATGAAAAAAAAATTAGTGAAAAGAGCACCATGGTTTTACATTTTTACAAGTCTCTTTAACAGAACAGAGCTGAATTCTCATATATGCTTCTGCATTCAATCTATTGCAATATCCCATACCATGTAGCTTCAAAAAAAAATTCACTGTATACTCATGTGAGAAGGAGAGTTAAAAAGGCAAATAACATCTTAGTATTATGGTAAAACTAGTTTTAACCTCATGAAAAAGTCTCATAGACCTCCAGCAGGTCCTTGGACCACACTTTGAGAACCAGTGATATACTAAATAAATTATATAGTCATTCAGTGAATGACTGCTCTAGACACTGTGCTTATAGTTATAAACAAAAAAATAAATTCCTTATTTTCAGGGGGTTGACATGCTGGCAGTCATTTCCTGTTGGAAAGGAATTTAAGGGTGATCTAACACAAAGACCCATCAAATCAAAGTATTCTTTTACAGAACCCTCTGGCAGGGTTCTCTACTATTTAAATATTTCTAGAGCAAGGGAATTCATTGGTCTTATTTCTCCTACTGAACATGCCTAGCTACCATATTTGTTTATATATATATATATATATATCATGATTATTTCCTCTGGACGTGATGATGTCCCTTTTAAAATTCTGGATCAGGCCCAGCCAGTGTGGCTCACTGGTTAAGTAAGCATCAACCTATGCACTAAGAGGTCGCCTGTTCAATTCCCGGTCAGGGCACATGCCCAGGTTGTGGGCCCAATCTCCAGTGGGGACATGCAGGAGGTGGCCAATCGATGTTCTCTCTCATCAATGTTTCTAACTCTCTCTCCCGCTCCCTTCCTCTCTTTAAAATCAATAAAGAAAAAAATATTTAAATAAATAAATAAATAGAATTCTGGATCAGGATAGAACAGTGTGTCCTGGATGAGGTCTGATCATTCCAGAGGAAAATTGGACAAAAATGTAAATCTGTTTTGGATCATAATTTGCTATTTATATTTCAAGTCCTAGATGTGAGACTAGGCAACCAAACAACAAACACTTTAGAAAAATAGAATATTGTGGGACTTTGCTATTTCTCTAAAGCATTACTATAATGGTTCCCAAGCTGCCATATTTCTTTTCTTTTTTTAAATAAATTTTTAGAGAGAGAGGAAGGTAGAGGAACAGAGAAAGAGAAACATCGACGTGAAAGAAAAACATCAATTGGCTGCCTCCTGCACAACCATACCTGGGACAAAGCCTGAAACCCAGACATGTATGTCAACTGGGAAGCAAATCAAACAAGCAACCTCTCGGTGCACGGGACACCACCAACGAACTGAGCCACACTGGCCAAGACTGGCTGCCATATTTCAATTCAGTTGTCAGCTTGGGTACCAAAGTAATAGAACCAAAGTGAGATACCTGGTGATCCTAGTACTGTTACATTATGTGAAAAAATAAGAACTACATTTCCTAGTTTATTGCTAGTAGAAAAAGAAACAAAAAAATGTACCTTTCCGTTTCTAAGGTCCATAATATCTACATTATTCATCAATTAAATATGCATCTTCATTTTTTTACTTTTTGTCTAACTGAAATTTGTAAAGTGAAACTTTATCCAGACAAAAAAGAGTCTGAGTTATGACTCTAGATGAACCAACCTTTAGAGCCAAATCATATGTGGCTGAGCTCCAGATATCTTTTTCTGCCATTAATTGTTTAATATCATTCTCCATCCTTCCTCTCTGTAGTGTATATAAGTCATGGTATTCTTCTATAATTCTAAAAGAAAAATTAAGAAACAGCTATATTGGACAAACGTTTTTTAAAAAGAAGTTTGTTTTTAATAAAGGCAAGTTGTTCCTTTCAAACTCATCATAAGGTAATTATGGTATAATTGCTGGACATATTAACAGCAATATACAGTAGAAATTGAAAAAAAATTCACAAATCTTACAAAGTCTTAAAGTAAAAAGTTCAATATATTGTTCTCTGCTCTAAATACTTTTCATCATATTCATTTACTAGAATTTTCCCAATACAGTATTCCAATAGTATAACACTATAACTAATGAAAACTTCAGAATACAAGTAGCAATAATATAGATCTCCGAGGGAGGGGCTGCTGCTTCTCCCCAGAGCTCCGGGAAGGAGCAAGATGGCCACCGGCCCGTGTGACTGCAACTCAGCAAAAATTCTGAGTGCCCTCCATATCCTGGGTGTCCCCACAGAGTTCCAGTCCAATCTGCCCTCCTTCTGCTGGAACCCAAGGTTCTTCAGAAGACGATGAGGTCATTCAACCAGGTTTCATCAGCCTCAGAGTGAATCCTTTGACATGGAGATGATGCTCTTAAGAGAATCATGAAAACGAAGATTTTGAAAAGTTGCTACAATATTTTAATTTACCAACTAGTTTCTGATAACCATAGATTGTGGTTTTTCTGTGGGGGCAACCTGGAGACAGTCCAGATACTCTTTTCTTTTCTGTTGGGAAATAATGTTAACACCAAGTATTAAGTGACTGCAATAAAGTTTCATGTCTTTGAAAAAAAAAATAATAATAATACAGCAGTGTTATTGTTAAGCTTTTATTTCTCATAGAATTAGGATTCTTTACTAGAGGCACAAAGCCCAATTGTTGTGAGCAACTATATTTTCAAATTATATATAATTATATAAGATTTAAAGAAATTACCTACCTACTAACCAAAAGCTTAAGTATAATTATCTTTTTCTTAATTATTTTTTCTTCATGTTTACCAGAACGCACCTTTTCCTTCTAACTTACATGGAAGTTTCTCAGAATTAAAAGCCTTTCTGAGATTAAATATAAACACAGAAGTAGTAAAATGAATAGAAGCATTTGACAAACCTTTTTAAATGCATCCTTCTATGGAATATTAACTTTGCTATAAGAATTCAAAGTCTGCCCTGGCCGGTTTGGCTCAGCGGTTAGAGCGTTGGCCTGCGGTCTGGAGAGTCCCGGGTTCGGTTCCCGCTAAGGGCACGTACTTCGGTTGCAGTCTGTCCCCGGCCCTGGTCGGTCATGTGGGTGGCAGCCACTCGATGTGTCCCTTTCACGTCAATGTTTCTCTCTCTCTCTCTCCCTCCCACTCTATCTGTACAAAAATTGCAAGAATGTCCTCGGGTGAGGATAAAAAAAAAAAAAAGAATTCAAAGTCAGCAAAACAGAATTTTTTCAATTTTGCTGAAAGTAAGGAACCACCGGCATCAGTTCCTGAAGCCTCCTTCTATTTGGAGGCTTCTATTTGTTCAATTACCTGAGGAAAAAGTAATCACCCTACGTGTCACACAGGTGAATACAAATATAAAAATTCATAAGTTGTACCCTTAAGATCTGTGCACTTCACTGTCTGAAAGTTAGACCTCGATTTGTAAAAGAGCAAACAGCAAAGAAAAAAAATCAGAAACAAACTCACAGTCCAACAATGAGGGATTGGCCAAACAAAATTATGATGTAGCTCTATGATGAAAATACTCTCCAGCTAACTAAAGATCATGCTCTTAATATTTTGGTACATGGAACATTTTTTTGTGTTATGAGAAAACCCAAATGATAAAATTGTACAATTTGATCTCATGTTTATCAAAAGTACATAGAAAATATATATCAAAATATTAATAGTAATTAACTCTAAGAGAACGAATTGTGAATGCTCTTTATTTCCTTATTTATGTGTTTCTATATTTTCCAAATTATCAATAAAGTAATAAATTATCAGCAAAAAGTATTATCAAAGGTTTCTAATCATGAAGAATGAAGTTGAAATTCGAAAAGAGTATTAGAGGAGTAGATTTGGGGGAAGAACAAGAATTCAGTTTAGGAATGTTAGGCATCTAAATAGACATGTTAAGGCTGTTGAATATACAAGTCTAGAATTCAGGGAGAAGTTTGAAGCTGAAGACACAAATCTGTGGAGAAGGTTAAAGCTGGAGATATAAATTTGTGAGTTGAGAGTATACAGATGAAGGCATTGAAATCCAGGAATCCGAATGGATTCACTTAAGAAGTGAGTACAGAGAGAAAAGATCCAAGGAATGAGCACTCCAACGTTTAGAAACCAGCGAGATGAAAAGAAATGTATAAGGGATATGAGTAGGAAGGAGCTGACAGAAAAGTAGGAGGAGAATATAATATACTAAAAGACATTGTTTCCAGTAAGAGCAGCTGGTCAATTATGACTAATGCTGCTGGTTAAGTCAAGTTAAAGGAGAACTGATCTTTGAACTTAACAATATGAAAGTACTGGTGACTCTGACAAATGCATTTTGGTGGAGTGGTGGGAAGGAAACCTGATTAGAGTAGGTTCAATAGCTAGAAGGGAATATGTGGTCCTAAGAGACTTGGGAGTTTATTTGCTTGTTTTTCTTTTTGGTTGTTTTTAAGATGGGAGTAATTATAGCATATTTGTATCTGATGAAACTAATTAGGTAGAGAGGGAAAAATTAATGATACAAGAGAATCAGGGAATAATTGCTGAAAATATCTCAGGTAGGTAAGAGGGAATATACTAGTAGACAAATAGCGAGGCTGGCCTTAGAAAGGAGGAGACAGTTCATCCAGTTAAGAGAAGGAAAGGTAGAATATGTGAGCCCAGAAGCAGGCAGGTGGGTAGATGTAGGGTTGAGAGCTTGAGTCAACTTCTGTTTGCTTCTGCCTTTTACTTTTTAAAAAATATTTTCAATTACAGTTTACATTCGGCATTATCTTGTATTAGTTTCAGGTGTACAGCGTAGTGGTTAGACAATCATGTACTTTACAAAGTGTTCCCCAGTATTTCCAGTACCCACCTGGTTGCTTCTTTTGATAAAGCAAGGTCATCAGCTCAGAAAGAGGATGGAGATATAGTATCAGAGATATGTATGAGGATAGAAGACAACGTTTAGTACAGTTATCTACTAAGATAAGCAGGGTGAATCAGCTATACAAAATAGTAGTACATTCAGTAGGCAAAAAATGATCAAGGTACCCCCCCTCTCATTCAATTAAAAAATAAATTAGAATAAAACTAAGAATCTATTTTTGAATTCAGATTTTATATACATTTGTATTTTTCTTTTTTCTTTTTCTAATCCTCACCCAAGGATATTTTTCCATTTTTATCTTCAGATAGAGTGGAAAGAAGAGAGAGAGAGAGAAACATTGATGTGAGAGACACATTGACTGGTTGCCTCCTGCACAACCCCAACCAAGGCCAGGGACCAAACTGCAACTGAGGCACGTGCCCTTGACCGGAATTGAACCCGTGACTCTGATCCAAAGGCTGATGCTCTAAGCACTGAGCAAACCGGCCAGGGTATTTGTATTTTTCTTGACATTTGAAACATATAATCACTCTTCAACAAATTTTTTTAAAAATCAGAGGATTATGCTGGATTAAAAAGGACATAAAACAAGATGAGTGTATGCCCCTAGATTGAATACAAGTTTGGACAAGCAAATGCAAAATACATTTTGGAAATAATTACTAAAATTTCAATATGACCTGGGTAATTTACAAAGTAAAAATTTACTGAAATAGGTAGAGATTGTTGATTTAAAAAATAGGCTATATAATAGTTTATAAATATTTTGGTTTAAAAAATGCATGTATTCACATGTACATAGAAAAAATATCCATAAGAATATACACTAATATATTTACAGCAATAATCTACGGGTGATGTGACTATAATATTTTTTATTCATTTTTGTTTGTATTTTCCAATGTTCTTATAAGGTACATATACTGCTTCTATGATAATATTTTAAATCAATTAAAAATGCAATCAGACATATCTTTTGATATATACCCAATAGATTCTAGTAAGCAGAATTCTGAAAGAAAATGAAATAAAATAGAGGTCAGCAATCTATATGGCCTGTGGATTAAATCTAACCCACTACTTGTTTCTTGTATAGTACATGAGCTAAGAATTTTATATTTTCAATTTTTCACATATTTAATTTCACTTTTTATATTTTTAACAATAGAAGAAGAATATTTCACTGACACATGAAAGTATTATAAATTCAAATACAGATTTATTGGAACACAGCCATGTTTTGGTATTGTCCTTAGCTGCTTTTGCATTACAATGGCATGTATTACAAAGGCAGAGTTGACTGAGTAGTTGTATCGGAAACCATATTTCACTATTTGACCCTTTACAGAAAAAAATGTGCTAACCCCCAAAACAGAATAAAACATTAAGACTATAGTAGATTCACTAAAATCCCCTCCCAAAAAACTAGACTCATACTACTAATTAGGAAAATGCAAACAAAAACCAGATATCTTTTCATACCCATCTAATTAATAAGATATGGGCAAAAGGGAACTCTTACATATATATACTGATGAGAGGATATATACCAGTACAACTACTCTGTGGAATATTTGGCAACAACTAGCAAGACAAGGTTATACTTTTTTTTTTAATCCTCTCCTGAGGACATTTTTCCATTTTTTTGTTCAGACAGAGTGGGAGGGAGAGAGAGGAAGAGAGAGAGAGAGAGAGAAACATCGACGTGAAAGGGACACATCGAGTGGCTGCCACCCGCACAACCAACCAGGGCCGGGGACAAACTGCAACCGAGGTACACGCCCTTAGCAGAAACTGAACCCAGGTCTCTCTGGACCACAGGCCGACACTCTAACCGCTGAGCCAAACTGGCCAGGGTGGTTATACATATTATATGATGCAATAATTTCACTTCTAGGTATACACTCTTGGAAAACTCTCACCCAAGTAGACGTTAGACATTTACAAGATGTGCATTACAACAGTTCCCAGAGGAGTTAATATATGTGATGCACTTTACACTGTTGTAATAAAAAAAATATTTCTAATGTTTCTATAAAATTTCGAAATAAAGTGTGAAGCAAATATGACATAATGGCTAACATGTGATAACTTACTTGGCATTCTTTTCAGCATCTAAAAGAGCTTCTGCCAAATCCCTGTGGGCCTTCTCTGCTTCCTTTGTTAATTTCATGTCATGTGCCCGAACCAAACACAGCTCCCTGAAATAAAGCAAAGGAATTTTATAAACATAGTTGAAGATTTCCCAAAAGTTTCTATGCAGAAAAATCAGATTTATACTTGGGAATCTTCTCAGTTATCATGTATACATCTCTTCCTAGTTTTTCCACCTTACAAACCAAATCAATAGACCTAGTGTACCTATGGATGGAATCTTGCCAGGTTTGGCAATGGAGTCAGGCTGGCTGGAAGAGGCAGAAAGAAGATGAGGGGGATCCTGCAGTGCAGAGTGAAGGCAGATGCTGACAGGCAAGGCTTCCAGGCTGCCCTATCCTACCCTCTGACATGCCTGTCCTACCCTTTCATTCTTGCCACTAATTATCTTGCTATGAGTTTAGGTGATCACTAGCCTTGATTGCTATATAATGCTTATTCTCTTGTCATTCGAACCTTAACATCCATAATGAAGGCACTTGCTCTGTAAACCTGATTAAGATAAACATCTCTATCTTAGAAGGAAGAACCAGATCTTTTTCCCTATTAAATATACACGGAGCCCTAGTTTTGTGTTCATCTGTATAACCTATGTCTCTATAACTATATCTACATCTATATCTATATCCAGTTTTTTCCCTTCTCTTGCTAAACATGAAAAGAGAACATGGCTTTAGAGACATGGCTTTGACTTTTGTTTTGTGTTTATGATAATCACAGTTTTTACCTGGTTAGTTCCTCAATAACAGTCTTAAAATTGTACAATTCTTGTAAAATGCGCTGGTCCATCACTCGCTGAGTTACCAAATCTTTGTAGAAGTCAATCATCTGCCGGGCAATCTGGTCAAGCATTTGTACATACCGCTCTCTGCATGAGAAAGAAGGAAAAGAAGACATCATGCAGAAGAAAAGGAAAAAGGAACAAATATATTTGAGAGAGAAAGTAATGTTAGAGAAAAAAAATAATGGACACAAAGATAAAAAAGGAAAGGGATCCGGACTATATATTCCTACTATGCTCATGCAAATGAATGAATTGTGAAGAATTTTAACCATAGTCATAATTACTTGGAATATAATATGTGAGATATAAAACAAAATAAGGACTTTTGTTCCTTCTTCTAAATTATAAACTCTATGAGGATAGGAAATATGTCTTACATAGTATAATATCTAACAAAGTGACTTGAATATAGTGGAAGTTTTATAATAGTTGAATTCATGAATAAAACCACTTTTCTTGCCCTGACCGGTTTGCTCAGTGGTTAGAGTGTCGGCCCGAGGACCAATGAGTCGTGGATTCTATTCCTGGCAAGGGCACACCCTCGGTTGTGGTTCATCCCTAGCCCTGGTCAGGTCATGCGGGAGGCAACCAGTCAATGTGGCTCTATCACCTCAATGTTTCTCTCTATCTCTCTCTCCCCCTCCCTTCCTCCCACTCTGTCTGATAATAAGTAGAAAAATATCCTCAGGTGAGGAATTAAAAATAAATAAATAAATAAAAATAAAACCACTTTTCTCAAACTAAGCAAAATGTACCCACTGTTTAAAATAAGCAAAGACCGCCCTGGCCAGTTTTCAAAGGTTAGAGCATTGGCCTGCTGTCCAAAGAGACCCGGGTTTGGTTCCTCCTAAGGGCACATACCTCAGTTGCAGTTTGTCCCCAGCCCTGGTTGGGTTGTGCGGGTGGCAGCCACTTGATGTGTTCCTTTCTCTCTCTCTCTCTCTCCCTCTCCTTCCCTCCCTCCCTCCCTCCCTCTCCCTCCCACTCTATCTGAACAAGTGAAAAAGTGTCCTCGGGTGAGGATAAAAAACAAATGTTTCTCTCTCTCTCTCTCTCTCTCTCTCTCCCCCTCCCTCTCCTTCCTTCCCTCGCTCCCTCTCCCTCCCACTCTATCTGAACAACAAGTGAAAAAGTGTCCTCGAGTGAGGATAAAAAACAAACAAAATATTTAGAAATGATCACAGATGACAAATTATAAATACTGTAACTGAGCAGTGTTCATTTATATTAAAAGTGATCGAGGTATTATATCCTAACCCTGAGACTCCAGAATTATATGTTCGAGTTGGAATGGTCAGTTAGTTTGATCTCTCACCCACAGACAGAAAAAATTATTTATCCTTTATTTAAACACTTAAAGTGAAAGGGAGGACTCTGTAAGATACCAGGCTCAGGACAACAGAAGACTTTCGCATTGAAGTTTGCCCCTAGACCTTCGAAAGAGCTCCTACCACAATAAAATGCTGGCCATTAGATTATCCTGGCCGTACTGAGTGTTTCACCATTCCACAACACGTCAATGTTTGCAGAAATCACCCTGAAACCTCATTGCCTATTCTCACTCCAACTTTACCCTATTCTATATCCTTGGTTTTGAAGACCTACTCTGATCCTATCCCTGGAAGTTTGGAATTAGTTTCTGAAAGGATTTTGGCTTTGACTCACCTGCCTGTCTCTCTGTTTAGACTTCCTGGGATAGGACTCCACCCTATTTTGTTCCCTAGAAGCTAACTCCTAAAAATACCTAGAAGACTCTCCATTACACCTACTCCTCATAAGGGGAAGGTTTGGATACACTGTAGGTCATCTAGTTCCTTTGCCATGATTCCTCATCTATCCCTCCTGGCCTTGTTCTTAGATCGACAACTCAGACTTTAGTTGTCCCTATCCTCATTCTAATTTGGCATTCTCTAGCTCATTTTTTTAATCCTGACTCGAGGATATTTTTCCACTTATCTTCCGATAGAGTGGGAGGGGAGAGAGAGAGAGAGAAACATCGATCCAAGAGAGACACATCAACTGGTTGCCTCCCGCACGACCCCGACTGGGGCCAGGACCGAACCATAACCGAAGGATGTGCCTTTGACCGAAATCAAACCTGTGACTCTTTGGTCCTTGGGCTGATGCTCTAATCACTGAGCCAAACAAGCCAGGGCAGCATTCTCTAGCTCTTGACGGTGTTCCAAGAACTTAGTCCTTAATGTCTAATCTTGACCAGTTTCTTATTAATGGCTTTGCTCCTAGTTTCTCAGCACTGTCAGACAGGGCAGCTTAGCTTCCATAAATCAGATAGTGGACAAATAGGGCAAATTTATATTATTAATGCTCATTCAGGAGAAACAGATATTCAGAGAGATTTTATACTATGCCTGTGGTTCTATGGAAAGTAAACTGCAGATATGTAACTGAACCCAGTATTCTAATTCTCCCATTTCTCTTAGTGCCAATGTCATAAGAAGAATTATAGTAATAACAGTATTTATCATTATCATCTATAACAAATATATGTATTGAGCACCTAATTCTGTGCTCTCATTTAAACCTCACCACAATCCTATGAAGCATCTTAGTGCTTGAGTATATTCAATAAATATTATTGACTGATTAATGACCAAATAAACAAATGAAAATTTTCACAGTAGCTGGTATCTTCACTTACAGATGAGAAAAATAAGGCTCAGACTTTTACCTAAGTCATACACAGATGAGAATTTGAAACCAGACCAGTCTGTCTTCAGAATCTATACTTTTCCCACTATTTCAAACAGCAGTTCACTCCCAATCATAAAAGAATACAATATCAAACATCTCAACAGAAATCACCTTAAGGAAGTTCTCAACTATTACATTTTTATTACAGGAAATATAACAAAAATACAATTAGGTTCCTTATTAGCAAGAGGACAGAGAAGTGTACTTTTGCAATTTTCGCAGAAGCAAAGATAAAAACAGAATTCTGATATAAAATTCAAAAGGAAACTGAATACTCCAACAACAGTTCTCACCTGATTTTGGACAGTAGTTCTCCTCTATCTGCACAGTCTACACTGACTTGTCGAATAAGTTCATGGAACACTGTATTGTAAATGGTCTGTTCCTTCTTCAGTATATGTAGCAGTTTGTGCATCTGGCAAAAGATAAGTTAATTAGCATTTATTATGGTTTTGTCAGTAAAAACCATTTTAGGAGTTAATCACCCTGGATGTGTAGAAACACCTTGATTAATTTATTTCAGTTACATTTTCTGTTATAAATATATATATACAAAAGTGATCTCTTCTTTTTAAAATCTGTGTCTAATCATTGTACCTCCTTATATGCTGTACTGAGAAGGTCACAGTATCACATGTTAATTTGATGCCAAATATGTTATTCCTGCCAAAATACAAAACCTGGATCTAATCATGACTACACATCAGATAAAACAAAACTAAAAAACATTCTACAGAATAATGGGACTGTGCTCTCCCAAACAGCAAGGTCAAGAAACACAAAGAACTGTTTCAGATTACAGCTGTCTAAAGAAAACTGACAAATAAAAGCACTGTGTGATCCTGGGATCCTGAAAGAGAGGATAAAATAGCTATAAAAGCCGTAACAGGTACAATTGATAAATTTGAATTTGGACTATCATATCAATGTTAAATTTCCTGATTTTGAAACTGTATTATGGATATGTAAGAGAATGTCCTCATCTATAGGAAATATACCCTGAGATGTGTTTGGTGGTAAAAAGGCACAATGTCTCCAGCTTACTCTAAAATGGTTCAGAAAAAAACTATACTGATAGATATATGCAGAAAGGGAGTGAGAATGATAAAGCAAATAGGGCACAATGTAAACAGTTGGTGAATCTGGGTAAAGGTTACACAGGAGTGCCTTAGGTATATGTTTCAAATTCTATAAAAATAAAAATTTACAAAACAAAAAAGAAATAGTCATCATTAAAAAAAATATATCTATGTAAGACAGAAAGAGCCCTTTCATTAAGCACAAAATAAAAATTACAAGTGGAAGAGAAGCACAACTTAACTGTCAGTGTTTTCTTATTGGTACATAAAATAATAAAGGTCTTATAATCTATAGTGCCTAATATTCAATGAAATATAGTAATAATAATACAGTTGACACTGGAACAACTCAGGGGTTAGGAGTGCCAACCCCCGCACAATGAAAAATATCCATGTGCAACTTTTGACTCCCCCAAATTTTAACTACTAATAGTCTACTGTTGACCAGAAGCCTTGCCAATAATATAAACAATCAATTAACACATATTTTGTATGTTATATGTACCATATATTGTATTCTTACAATAAAGTAAGCTACATAAAAGAAAATGTTATTAAGAAAATCATAAGAGACATATATTTACTGAAAAAAACCCACATATAAGTGGACTGCATAGTTCAAAACCATGTTGTTCAAGGATCAACTGCACAATGCTAACAATTATACAGTGTTTACCACATGCCAAGTTCTGTTCTCAGCCTTTTACATTCACTATGTAATTTGATCTCCTGCAACAACCCTATGAGGTAAATATTATTAACATCTCTAATTTTCAGATGAGAAAACTGAGGCACAAATACATTAAATGACTTACCCAGGGTCACCAGCTAATAAATGGCAGGGCCAGGATTAAAGTCCAGGCATTCTTTCATCCAGAGTGTATGCCCGTAATCACTAACTAGGTCACACTGATCTTTACAGTTACCTGGGTGGGCCCTGTGTATTCCTGATTTTCCACACCAGCCCTCTCTAGCATCGCATCCATCACATCATTCAGCTGGATCACTTCTACTCTTTTATTGGGTTTCCTAAAAGATTAAGGTGGCAGTCTTAGTAATCAGTGTTACAATAGGTCATCTTCAAATCACAAAAGAATATGTATAAAGAAAATGAATATACTATGGAACATAAATGGTATCTTAAAGCATTAGACTTGTAAGTATTGATCTACAGGGATATTAGGATACAGTTTTTTAAAAAAAGAAAAAGTGCAAATAGTATGATTTCTTTCATAAAAGAAAATAATGCTCCCTCCCCCCAAAATTCTATTCACCTATTGTGTACGATTGTAAGAACATAGGAAAAATGTGGAGAGATAAGCATCAGGCTATTACTGTTGGTTACTTCACAATGTAAGAGAAGAAAAGGACAAAGAAGAGGAAAAAACAAAAAAGACTGCAGCAAATAGAGAAATACTAATGGTTAATGTAGCACATAAAAGTATTTTATATATGATCCAGCAATCCTACCCTCTGAATACTCATCCAAAAGAAATGAAATCAGGATCTCAAAGAGATTATTAGCACCTCCATATTCATTGCAGCACTAGTCACAATATGTGGAAACAACATAGATGTCCATTGATGAATAAATGAATAGAGAAAATGTGGTATATACAGACAGTAGAAATTATTCAGCCTTAAAAAAGAAGGAATTTCTGCCACATACAGCAACACGGATGAAGCCGGAGGATATCACGCTAAGTGAAGTAAGCCAGTTTCAGAAGGACAATACTGCGTGATTCCATTTACATGAGGCATCTAAAATAGTCAAATGCATAGAATTATAGAGTGGAATTGTGGTTTTCAGGGGCTGGCAGAAGAGGGAAATGGAAAATTGCTAATTAACAGGCATCAAATTTCAGTTATGCAAGGTGAGTAAGTTCTACGGATGTGCTGTACAACATTGTATACCTATAGCTAACACTGCACTGCACACTTAAAAATTTGTTAAGAGAGTAGATCTCATACTGTGTTCTTCCCACAATAAAACAAAATTTAAAAAACAATAAAAATAATTTTAAAATTGTTTAAAAGGGCATTTTATAGTACTTATATATTATACACATGTAAAAAATAAATATGCATTTGGACAAATGAAAACACTGATTGGATGATAGAACTGTGGGCAATTATTTTCTTGAGTTTCTGCTGTCATTTTAATTTTTTTTTGTATATATATTTTGTTCAGATAGAGTGGGGGAGAGAGAGAGAGAATCATCAATGTGAAAGGGACATATTGAGTGGTTGCCACCCTCACGACCCAACCAGGGCCGGGGACAAACTGCAACCGAGGTATGTGCCCTTAGCCGGAACCGAACCCGGGTCTCTCTGGACCACAGGCCGACACTCTAACCGCTGAGCCAAACCGGCCAGGGCTCATTTTAATATTTGTTATGTATAAAGTATCAAGAAAAAGTGATATAAATGTATATAGTTATTCTTTCTAAGAAACACTTTAAAAAATAATTGTACTTACATGGATGGGAAGAGCAATAGCCTGTTTTCATTATCTTTGAGGAGAGTAGTATATTTGCTGCAATAAATAAGGCAAGTAATGTTACTCTAAGACAATTATCTGGCCCGTTTATCACATATCTCAACATGATCAACTTAAGAGCTTAAGGAACGAAGAAGCTTGAAGATAATCAGAAAGGTCCACCACTTTGCCCACAATATCATACTGAAATAGTCTCAGACATCTGCAGATACAGGTGTAATGATATTTATCGTATTTGGAACTTTTTTAGTAAAGGATCCTTAATCACATTCCTTAATAGGTCACAATATGAAAATTTCCTTGATTCATTTAAAAATAGCCTTTTCGGCCCTGGCCGGTTTGGCTCAGCGGTTAGAGCATCTGCCTGCGGTCCGGAGAGACCCGGGTTCGGTTCCCGCTAAGAGCATGTGCCTCGGTTGCAGTTTGTCTCCGGCCCTGGTCGGTCGTGCGGGAGGCAGCCACTCGATGTGTTCCTTTCACGTCGATGTTTCTCTCTATATATTCCTCTCTCTCCCTCCCACTCTACCTGAACAAAAAATGGAAAAAAATGTCCTCGGGTGAGGATAAAAAAATAAATAAATAAATAAATAAATAAATAAAATAAAAATAGCCTTTTCGCCCTGGCCAGTTTGGCTCAGCAAGTAGAGCGTTGGCCTGCGGTCCAGAGAGACCCGGGTTCGGTTCCCACTGGGGGCGTGTGCCTCAGTTGCAGTTTGTCCCCGGCCCTGGTTGGTCATGCAGGTGGCAGCCACTCGATGTGTCCCTTTCACGTCAATGTATCTCTCTCTCCCCCTCCCACTCTATCTGAACAAAAAAAAGGAAAAATGTCCTCGGTTGAGGATAAAAAAATAAAAATAAAAATAGCCTTTTCAAAGGTAAAAGGCTTTTCTAAGAACATTGAAGTCAACAAAGTTAAGTGACTAAAATGGTTATAGAATTAATAAGAAGCAGAGATGAAACTAGAATCCAGTTTTCCTGACTGCCAGCCTTATCGTCCTCTGGAAGTGCTTGTTTAGAGCTAAATGAGAATCATAATGAGAATGACATAGTACTACTTTAAATTCATTATTATTTATATATCTTTTGTCTTCCCCTACTTAATAAGCATTTCATTTGGTTCTACCCCCTACTGAAAAACAGTTGATTAATAAAATCCATTTTCAGATTTGAGATCAGTGAAAAATCTCCAGGGAATATAAACACTCAGTTTCAAAAATGAGTGTGTGAGAAAGACTAGAAGCAACGCTATCCCAGGAGCAATGAGCTCACCTAGTACCCAGATCTTGCTTTCTAAGTATCATTCTCCACTAGAAGGAATCAATACTCTTTGGAGAAGTGACTCAGAGCTCATTCCAGAGCTGGAGTTAGGAAATACAAGATGAACCTAGAAATCTTATTGAGCTAGAAAATAAAGAGAAAATTCAAAGAAGTATGGGGATATGCCTAAAGAACACAAGATTTTTTAACATCAAAATAAATAATCAGCCCTGGCCGGTTTGGCTCAGCGGTTAGAGCGTTGGCCTGCGGTCCGGAGAGACCTGGGTTCGGTTCCCGCTAAGGGCATGTACCTCGGTTGCAGTTTGTCCCCGGCCCTGGTTGGGTCGTGTGGGTGGCAACCACTCGATGTGTCCCTTTCACTTCGGTGTTTCTCTCTCTCTCTCCCTCCCACTCTATCTGAACAAAATATAAAAAAAAATGTCCTCGGGTGAGGATAAAAATAAATAAATAAATAAATAATCATAATAAAGAATTATAACCCATTGGAAACAAAAAGAAATCCATGGGTCCATATGGTAAAATGTGAACTAATAAATATAGAAGAAATGATGGAGCTAAAAAAAGTCCAAAAAGATCTATAACTATTGGGTTGCTAGGAAACATAAACTAAAGTATTTGTTAGTAAAGGGTCATGATGTCTTCAACTTGCTCTTGAATAATTGGGGTGTGTGTGTGTGTGTGTGTGTGTGTGTGTGTGTGTATTAAAGCAAATGAAGCACTCAGTGAGTCAGGATAGAGGGTACAGGGAGTTCCTTATCTTATTTTTGTAACTCTTTTATAATTTTGAAATTATATAAAAATTAACACTTACCTGAAAAAGCAATTCTATTTAGTTCTTTGGGAAAATATTGTTCAGAAACCCACCATCACAAGGAAATGCCATATAACATACGTACTGGATAAAGTAAAAAGAGTGGCAGCTTCTGGATATTTTATTATAAAACCTTAGTCCAAAGTTCTAGTTTTGTAAACTGTGAAACAGTCAAGTGTTGTTTCAAATAATAAAAAGAAGATCCCATTTTCAATCCCATAAAGAGAAAAACTGGAGATGAGTAGTCTGCAATGTGGAACGAAGCCCTAGAATTGCACATTATGAGAATCCAGCTTAGAAGGCTACTTTCCTTTTGTCTCCACAGTCATTGCTCAAAACCATTCTTAAAGAGGCATAGACAAGCATTCAGAACAAAGATCCATGTTTTTAAAGTCAAAATTAAATAATAGGAAAAGACAGAGAACAATTTCATCAGTAAAATCCCAAACTCTTTCAAGATTTTTTCATCAGTTTCTTTAAATGATTTTTTTTCTTAAATTGTATTAGGATGGTAGGCCAAATGTTTCCTTGTTTTAGTGTAGATATTGCCTAAGAACATGAGTGAATTTTTTTTCAGGATCCTCTATGTCTGGGAAGGAAGAAACAGTCTAAATTGTCAGATATTCAGTATATACCATAGTACTCACTCATCATAGCACTCCAAACCTGAAACTCCTTTATTTGACACAATATGAAATTCTTCAGGAATCAAAGTATCTGTTAGTTTCTTTGGCTTAAAAAGAATGACAAAAATGAAAACATCAGAGGATGAAAAAAATGAATTGCACAAATCCTAATTCCTGTCCCAAAGGGATGGGATTTATTAAGAGATTTTGATTAGAAAAATAACAATATTAGTAATATGGGACATAACAAGTAGTAAAAAAATTTTAGCAGAGCATACATTTTTAAAAATGTTAATTACATAACCTTGGTTTTAGTATTAGTTACAAGTGTCCCATATACTATTCAGAAATCCACTGACCCTTTAACATTCAATAACAATTTAAAATTCACCCTAGCAATATCCCCAAAATAAGAATTATACAATAAACTGTGGATTTCTAAAAACAAATAAGCAAAAACAAATCTATTCTCCTATATTTTCTAGATTAAAGTAGATAATTATAGTTTGGAAATGGCTTAAAATAAGATATTTTTTATCTTTTCTCACTAAATACCCTTTTCTAGAAATAATTAAAAGTGCTATGAAAACTGATAAGCAATGCAGGTTGTTGTTATATAGCACAACATTGCTTTATATTTTGGGAAAACATGGTTTGTTTGTTTTTTTTAAAGTAAAGAGAGGAAGATGAAATTATCAAATTCTTTATTTACCTTATGAGGCACAATGACACCATCATGTGACTGTAATGAATGGTCCGAATGTGGGGGACAAAGTACACCCTCCCTAGTCTCTCCTTTAACATATGTGACATCGTACAGAAAAGAAATATCCCTAAAAAGTAAGAAAAGTATATTTACAAAATCAATTTTGTCTGGTAACTGGATAAGAGTGGGTAAGGTTCACACATATCCTTCTCGTGGGTAGAAAGGGGCACAAAACTGGTCTCACCTCATACTTTACTAAGGCTGAGGCACTAGACATGATTGTCCTCCCTCCCCCCCATATTCTTCCCTCCTCCACCTTAAACTTCTCATTCACATCACAAGTTCTTTCCTTTCCTTCAATCTCTTCCTTGGGGTTATTTCCTCCACTTATGTCCTTAATTTCATCTTTGCCCACATCCTCGGCGATTCCATTTCATCAATCATAACCTCTGTGTATCTCCCCCTCTATTGGAACATTCCCTTTGGTCTATAACTCAAGTCTTTCACCTTTCTATAAAATTTCCTTGCTATGCACTGTCATGTTACCATGATAGATCAATCGATCAATCATCTCTCACTTTGTTAAACATCAAACTTACTGAAATTTCCCCAAAATCTGATTTTCATCTCCATCTTTCTTCTGAAACTTCTCCAGAAAGTTGATGATGACTTTCCACTGCTAAGTTATGAGTTTTTATCTTCCACTATTTCCCTGGATTTTTTTCCAGGGTTGGTCACCTTTTTAAAAAAAAACATTCTCCTCTATCCTGTGTTGCTGGACTCCCCAGTTTCTTTCATCTTATCTATTACTCTTTGGACTTCTCTGTGACCTTCTTGCTACTAAATGGGAATGCTCCACAACATTCTGTCCTCATCCCTGTTTCTTTCACTATACTTTCTCCCTTGGCAATGTCATCAAATTTTACCTTACCACATTTGTTACCTCCAGACATAGCTGATATCTCCCCTCCATTCTAATTTTTCATCCTCCTATATTCACTAATTCTGTCAGCATCACCGCTCATCAAAATCTCAGCATCCATCATTGATTCCTTCCCATACTTAGCCCTCGATATCCACCTAGCTCTAACACATTAATTTTACAGCCACCCTCAAATCATTCCAGTGGTTGGTCTGCTTGTCTTTTGCCACTAGCCCAAATTGTCATTATTTTTTATGTGGATTATCAAGTCTCTCTGGTATATTTTCCATGCCTCTACTAGATTTATCTCCCTACAGGGGTTATAATCACGTCACTCACTGCACATACTTTTCAGATTACTTTACCTCTCCCCCCAATTTTAATTGGTATAGCCATTATGAAATACAATGTTGGTTCCCCAAAAGAATAAAAAATAGAACTACCACATACCAGCAACCCCACTTCTGGGTGTACTATATATCCAAAGGAAATGAAATCTGGGTCTCAAAAAGATATTTGCACTCCCATGTTCATTGCAGCATGATTCACAATAGCAAAGACACAGAAATAACCTAAATATCCATTGACAAATGAATGGATAAAGAAAATGTGGAATATATATCTACAACAGAATGTGATTCAGCCTTAAAAAACAAGGAAATCCTGCCATTTGTGACATGAATAAACCTAGAAAATATTATGCCAAATGAAATAAGCCAAAGAAAAACAAATACTACAGGACCTCTTATGTGAAGAGAGAGAGAAGGGACAGGGGGAGAAATGAGATGTTGATCAAAAGGTATGAAGTATCAGTTACCCAAGATGTATGTGTTCTGGAGATCTAATGTATAGCATGGTGATGACAGTTAACAAAATTGTATTGCATCCTTGAAATTTACTAAGAGAATAGATTTTAATCTTCTTCTCACACACACACACACACACAAATGGCAAGTATATGGAGTAATGGATGTTATTTAGCTTGTGGTGATGATGTCACAATATATACATTTATCAAAACATCAAGTTGTACACCTTAAATACACACAATTTTCATGTGTCAGATATCCCAATAAAAATTTTTTTGAAGCTGCTCTCAGGATGATGGGACATCAGTTACTATCACACCAATTACAACTAGGTAAGTTGACCAATATAACTTCATTAGCTAAAGCAATGAATGCTTTATACACACACATAAACACACAAAATCCTTCCAAAGAAAATGGTTTGGTTATTGTCATTCAAATTTTCTCAAAGAGTAAGTTTAGGAGCCTTTTATATTTCTATTATTGAATTATTGGGTATTTTTAGAAAAAACGTTTAATTTGCTAGAATATACTTTTTCATTAAAACAGAGATGTTTTATTTATTTTTTAAATTTATTTTTTAGAGAGAGAAGAAGGGAGAGGGAGAGAGAGAAACATCAATAAGAGAGAACATCGACTGGCCACCACCTACATGCCCCCAATGGGGACTTGGCCCACACGTGGGCATGTGTCCTGACCAGGAATCAAACCAGCAACCTCTTGGTGCATGGGTCAATGCTCAACTACTGAGCCACACCGGCTGGGCTACTTCTTTTAAATTCTTGTGATAAATCACCTGTTTACACTCTTCCAGAAAATTTATTTTTTATTTTTTTAAAAAACAAACAAAAAACTTTGAATTTTGGCCATAAGAAATAAATTTTATTAAATTTTAAGAAATTTTTCATCCCTTTCTCTAGTCCCCAAATTATAAAATTGCATTCATACTTCAAACTTTTCTCCAAATCATCTGGTTGTTGTGTGCATAAATAAGCATGTGTTTTATCTGAAGTTATCAGGGAATGGGGTATTTCAGAGATATCGAATTTTCCTAATCAATATCTTTGCTTTGTAAGCAACACTAAGTCTTTCTAAGATGTATTTAAAACTTTGTGGCTTTCTTAAACAGAATATATATAACATGACATGATCTTCATAATTCAGGTTATGACTTATGAAGCTAGACATTTCTTGAGGACTGTCTGGTTATGTTTCTGAGACTTAGTACAGGGGCTGGACATACGGTAGGCTCTGATGTGTACTGGACACCCTCTTTGTATTGGGGAGGTTAGAAAGTGCTTTCCCAGACAGACAACCTTGTAGATAGGATTCTACAATTCCATAAATGGAACACAATTCCATAAATGGATGCACTTTTGCAAGATTTGGGGAGTAGAAGTGACGCAGAAGCCATTTTCCTGCCATATTTCAACTGCCTCTGCCAGCAACATTATGGAAAAGTGGTTTTCCTGAAGCAACATTTCACAATCCATACTCCTGCTGCCAAGATCAGGAAGGCAGTGCAGTAACAGCAGCAGCAGCAGTGACAGCTTCTTGATTTCAGTTTCCTGATCCTTGGAACATAACTAAGGGGGTATTTTTAAAATTGTAATATAATTCACATGCCATAAAATTCACCCTTTCAAAGAGTACAATTTACAAGTGTTTAGTATATTCACAATTTATAAGTGTTTAGCATATTCACAAAGTTGTAAAGCTGTATAACTATCACAAGTACCTAATTCCACATTTTCATCACCCCAAAAAGAAACACTTTACTCCTCAGCAGTAATTCCTTCTGTCTCCCCTCCCCACCCATTCTGTCTCTATGAATTTGTCCATTCTGGACATTTCATATAAACAGAAACATACGTGTCCTTTTGTGAATGGCTTCTGTCACTTAGCATGTTTTCAAAGTTCATCAATGTTATAGCATATATCTGTTTTTTATTCCTTTGCATGGCTGAATAATATTCCATTGTTTAAATATACATGTTGTTTATCCTTTCATCAATGAATGAACAGTTAGGTTGTCTCTACTTTTTGACTCTAGAACTCTTGTGGTAGCTTTGGAGGCAGTACCCTCCAAGAGTTTTTAATTCCATCCTGCTCTATTGCTTCACACCTGCTCCTTTACCCCTTCCAACAAATTTTTAAATACTCAATTTCTTGCTTTAAAAATCTAGAGTGTCTTATTTCCTACACTGAATTCTAACTTAAAGAGTTGTTGAAAATATTACTCAGAGGCTATGTGCTTGGTTGTTTCATATTTTACTGCTCTGCTCCGAATATTTAAGGTTGCTGTACAAGTTACCTCTTATTATTACTATTTTTAAAACCAAAACAAAATCTGTTTATCTGGATTAGGGACTATAAATAGTTCTGTCTCTAGTACTTGACCTCCTCCCACCATGACTCCTGGACCTAGAGGAGCTCTGGCTGGGGCTTCTGCTCCCGCTCCGGATGCCCCAGCCTGGGCTGCAGTCCCTTTTTCTTTCTCTATTTCGTGAACTGTGCCTTTCACGACTTTCTGTTGTGTGTCCGTGAGATGTCTTACCCCTGTGGCTACTTGTCTTTTTCCTCTCAGCTTCCCCATTCTTTTTGTAGGAATGGGCCAGACTGGGGCTTCTTCTCCGCCTGGGCCTGCCATAGTACTTGTCATGGTGGCCCATCCTCTCTCTCCTCTCTGAGTCCTTACCAAAGGAAGAGCCAAACCGACCTGGAGACAGGTAGATATCCCTGTTGGCTTCCCAAAATTCATTGTTGGGATTTCTGAACACGTGAAGAAAGTTGCAATGTTTTCCTCTTGGGCACTGCTGTATTTCAAATAAACCACAAACTGCCATTTTCCATCTGGTCACTGGGCAGAACTCACACTGAAGCTGTCGTCCTGCATACCATCGGCCGTTAAACAGAGAAAGGGCTGCTTGACATTCTTCTTCCGATTGGTACTGAACGTACACATTGCCCCTCAGATGAGGTTCCAAGTTGCAGCTCACCTTGAACTGGATCACCTTCCCCACCTTCTTGAACTCGGGGAGCACGTCCTCGTAGAAGTCCAGGAACTGCTGGTAGGTCTCCTCTTCACTGTACTCCAGGCTGGCATCGGGGTCATAGTCATCCCTTCTGCACTGCTCCATTCCAAACGTTGTGAACATGCTTCTAATAAGAAGGGTGGGACTCGATGTGGGGAAATTGTGTTTACGTGAACACCTATCTCCAAATCTACACGCTCCTGTTTTACTGTAGAATGGACAATTGACTCGATCTTTCTCCATTATTCTTAAGTCCGTGGGTGGTTCTGGGTTTTGCCATGTGGCACTATTTTCCAACTCATTTTCAGCGTGTTCTAGCATCTTCTGCACAGCCTCCTCTCTCTCTCTTTTCTGCTGTAGCTTCTGCTCCTCCTCTTCTTTCTCTTTTCTCTGCTGTTCTTCCCATTCTTCCTTTAACTTTCTCTCCTGTTCTTCCTGCCTTTTTCTAGCTATCTCTTCCTTTTCATTCTTTATTCTAAATTCTTCTTGTGCCTTCCGCTCCCGCAGCAACCACTCCTCGTGTAATTTTTGCCTTTCTATCTCCAACAGTGTCTCTTGTTCACTAAAAGCTTCCTCTTCTTCCTCGTCCTCCTTCTGTGAGAGTCCTGAGTCTCTCAATCGGGCAAGTTCCTGCCGACGTTTCGTGCGTTTCTCCTTCTTCAGGGCTGCCCTGTACTTTCTGCGGCCCAGTTTCTCAGGAGGCATCTTCGGCTCAGACGCAGCCATCTTCTCAGCGCCACCACGCCGACAAGAGCTGCCGGAAAAGGCGGACTTAGGAGAGAGCGCAGCCGCATGCGCAGTACCACTCTCCCGCCCATCTCTCGGAAGGGAGGGCGGGGGGAGGGGGCGCGTGCCTCTGCCCAAGCGGACTAAAGACAGAAAACGGGAGGTTTCCATAGGTGGCTTCTCTCCTGACACCCTGCACAAATGAATGTCTCCTTCTCGAAAATTCCTACCCTGCCCTGCAAGCAATTTTCCCCTCCTACCGTGCTCTACACTATAGTGGAATGGCTTGTGGCCAGTAAGTTAAAATCACACTTCTCCCTCTTTTCTCCTCATCCACTCACGAAGCCTCACTCTACCCAAAGCAGCTCACCTTGCTCATTATGAATACTATTAATTGTGCATACATGTATTAATTTTCTACTGGTGCCAAAACAAATTACCGCAAGTTGAGCAGCTTAATCAACACCAATTCATTATCTTATAATTCTGTAGGTCAATAGTCCAACACAGGCCTCGCTGGGATGCAATCAAGGTGCTGACAGGGCTATGTCCCTTTCTAGATGCTCTACAAGAAGATATAGGGTTTTTTGGTCATTTGGTTTGTTAACAGAATTCAGTTTCTTGTGGTTCTAGGTTTGAGATCCCTGTTTCCTTGATGGTTGTCAGCTGAAAGCCATCCCCAGCTCCCAGCAGCCAATGGCTTCCTCCATTTTCAAAGCCAACAATAGAAGGCTGAATCCCTCTCACATTTAGAATCTGTCCTCCTTTTTCTGTCTCATTTCTCCAACCCATTCAACTGCCTTCCTTTTCCACTTTTAAAGATTCAGGCAAGTCGTTTGGGCCCATCCTGATTATCCAGAATAATCTCTCCATCTCAAGGTCCTTAACCCTAATCACATCGCCAAGTCCCTTTTGCCATGTAAGGTTCCAAGGATTACAGTGAGAACAACTGGGGGAAGCCATTATCCCGCCTACTACAAAACAGATGTTTGCATTTTAAAAAATCCAAGTCAGAAGTTATTTGACATTAAAGTTTTAATGTCAGTTAATTGCTACATTCAGATGTAGCTAATTATTTTTCAAAGTACTTCAAACATCTCATAACTACTTATTACTATTCATAATTATAGCCATGATCTGACGGCATAAAATATAGATACTTTATGACATGTAGGCCCCAGGACACAAAAGTCAAATGGCCCAAGTTTCTGCCACTTTTTCTAGAACTGATAATAGCTGAGTAATAACACTTTATATTTAAATAGCACTGTGTAATTTTACAAGTGCTCTTCCATTCATTATTTCATTTGTTTGTTCTATATTCCTGGGAGGTACACAAAATAGAGTAAGTCTATTATTCCCTTTTATAAATGAGAAAACAGAACTCAGAAAGATAAATAACCTACCCAATTCCAGTAAACATTTTTCTTTTAGATGAAGTGATACTTTAGTAAGGAGCATACAGAGTTGACAAATGGACCATACACAAAAAATGAGCAGATCACAATCTTTCAGAGGAAAATGTTAACATTTAGAATATTTTTAGGAATGATACAAAAATAGCAAATAGTATTTATGGATTTGATCTGAAACAGTGTAAAGATTAAGGGTTCACTTTGAGTAAAACCAAGAATTAAGCACTTGCTTTTCAAGGTTTTCCACATCTTGAAGCTACGTTAGCTGACATTTCTCAGATGTACAAATACAAGCAGCACTAGAGGCATAATTCTACCTGTATGATCTTGTCCCTTTTACTAGGGCACAAGGAATAGGAAAGTAAGGGGACAAGTACAGAAAGGCATGCAGCCCTGGCCGGTTTGGCTCAGCGGTTAGAGCGTCGGCCTGCGGTCCGGAGAGACCCGGGTTCGGTCCCCGCTAAGGGCATGTACCTTGGTTGCAGTTAGTTTGTCCCCAGCCCTGGTTGGGTCGTGTGGGTGACAACCACTCGATGTGTCGCTTTCATGTCGATGTTTCTCTCTCTCTCCCTCTCACTCTATCTGAACAAAATATTGAAAAATGTCCTCGGGTGAGGATAAAAAAAAACAAAAAACAAAAAACAAAACAGAAAGGCATGAAGCCCTGGACAGTTTGGCTCAGTGGTTAGAGCATCGGCCTGCAGACCAGAGAGTCCTGGGTTTGGTTCCCACTAAGGACACGTATCTCGGTTGCAGTTTGTCCCCGGCCCCAGTTGGAGTCATGTGGGTGCCAACCAGTCAATGTGTCTCTCTCACATCAATGCTTCTCTCTCTCTTCCCCCCTTTCTCCCTCCTACTCTCTCTGAAGATAAATGCAAAAATGTCCTTGGGTGAGGGGGAAAAAAGAAAAAAGAAATCAGAAAGGCATGCAAAAAGAAAACTTAAACAAACTTAAAGTAAGTACAGCTAGCACCTGTTGCAATCCTACTCATAATAATGTGGTCCCTCTTCAGATTGTATTGTGACTCATCAAAGGTACTGCTAGCTTTAAACTTTTTTATTCCGATTTTTCCAATTCTGTCCCAAGGAAACCATACAAAATGAAAAATGGGTATTCATCTAAATCTACCCCTACTATCTTCCTTCTTTACCTTCCAGCTCCTGTTAGGGAAACAGGATGGTCAATCAGATATTTGAATTTATTCCTTCGAATAGGGTGATGCCAGACATGATCAGCAGGGCGGGGAAGGGTACCCTGGTAAGAAAAGAAAACATGAATACCCAGTAGAGGGCGCACTAGTCAAATAAAATCTATTCTAAATTCTTTTGAGTATTTACATTAAGGGCATTTGTTTATTCTACAAAAAAAAAGCGCAAAATTCTTATTCAATACTATAGAGAAAGACTGAAACTAGAACAATTCAATATGAAAGACAATATGAAGGCAAAGTGGAGTAGTAGTGATCATTTAGGTAAATTATATAAAATCAAGTTAATGGAAATACTCAAGTATTTCCTTGGAAACAGTCATGCAAAAGACTTTCGTTTTCAATATAGGAAATTAATTTAAAAATACTTTTTAAGACAATCTGGAATATATAACATATGCTCAATAAATACTTAATGAAACAGATACCAAAAAGATAAGTGTTCCAAAGTAATTTATATATGCATATACACACCTTTGGGGTTTTAATTTTCTTAGGAGGCAATAAGTTTTCAGGACAAGAACCAGCATTGGCTGCATAGGTCAGAGAAAGAAGAACTTCCTCAGGGATGAACTCATTCTGAAGGGAAGTAGGAAGGGGTTTTGAACGATCCACCCGATTTTTTGTCTCCCTCAGTTCAGGAAGTCCTAAGAAAATAAAGGGAAAGAAAAACTCACTATTGTTTTTTGGAGTTAGTTGGAGATTCCCAGGCTGCCTCATCAATCCCATTTATATGTTTCTAACAGAGGAAACACTGCTCTGGTTGCTAAGAATAAGAATATTTAAAACACTGAACATTATCTGATCAAGAAAAAGAAACTCATATTGCCTGACATACTTACACTTCCATCAGACACAGGTTCAAAAACTCACGCTCAAAGATGAACTTCCACTATTCCAACTCAAAGTTGAAAAATTCACTTCGCTTACTCAATTAACTGGAATAGCCTTAAGATGGCGGGAATGCCTATTTTTCCTTTGATGTGAAAATGACAAAAAAACCTCCTGTTCTCAAAAATGTCAAATTATGTAGTATAGTCTCTTCTATATAAGTTCAAAGGTGAGAATAATTGCATTAAATTGGGCATTTATATAGAGTGGAAGGGATCTGCATTGGGTTTAAAAATAAAAGTAGAATTGGGATTTTTGGAAGAGAGCGGAATAACCTGAGCAAATTGGTAGAGTAATAACAATACAAAAAGTGTTCTACTCAGTTAAACTAAGGCAGGAGTTATAAAGTTAGGGCTAATCCTATGAAGTCAGTTGTCACTCTTAAAGGACTCTCCACTAGCCTCTGCCCCTCAGTTAGTATGTTATTTTCCATATGTTAATTTCCATAAGGAGGTATCCTGCTTTGATCCCCATTAAAACCTCTAAAGTTCACATTACCAAATCTCTATCTCTTGAAAGTTTGGGGTGGAATCTGAGTACCTGATGAAATAGAAAAAGAAAAACAAAGTTTAAATGGGCCATTAGCACAGTTTCCCCTACAAACAAGATGATGGTGAGTTGAAAGAAACTTCCATATAATGGGAGTCGGAATGAGTCTAGCAGATTCTTATTCTAATTCAGATATGCATTTATCTGATCTGTATATAAATGAAAATCTTAAATAAGGAATTACTTTCATTTTGCTCAGCGGTTAGAGCGTCGGCCTGCAGACCAGAGAGTCCCAGGTTCGGTTCCAGCTAGGGGCATGTACCTCGGTTGCAGTTTGTCCCCAGCCCCCCCCCCCCCACCCTTGGGGTCATGTGGGTGGCAACCAGTCAATGTGTCTCTCTCACATCAATGTTTCTCTCTCTCTTCTCCCCTCTCTCCCTCCTGCTCTTTCTGAAGATAAATGCAAAACTCTCTTCAGGTGAGGAAAAAATAAATAAATAATAATTATGAAAGCCTGATACAAACTGGTTCCTTACTAGGTACCAAAAAGAAGTAACGTTTTATACAACTATTAGTATTTAAAATGGAATGAATTTAAAACAATATATCATCATCCTTTGAAAAAAAATGACACAGTAGTCCTTAGGAGGAGGAGTGAAACAGGAGTCTAACTCAAAAATACTCTAAAAGGGCCCTGGCCGGTTTGGCTCAGCAGTTGGAGTGTAGGCCTGCGGACCAGAGAGTCCCAGGTTCAGTTCCTGCTAGGGGCATCATGCCAAAAAATACTATAAAATGACTGGATTTTATTGCAACAAGCATAATGGAAAAACGAAGATAATGAAGGTATCCTGAAATCTCAGATTAAGGAAAAACGGTGGTGCACATACCATGATTTCTGTCAATGGCCATGATTATTTACGTCTGCGGAACCCTTGAACAACCTTACCTGTCTCTTCCTTGGATGCAAAGGTTTTCATTTTTTTGCTCTCAAGCGACGTGGAGGACGTTTTTGGGTGAGCCATAATAAACAGTGCCTCCAATCACTCTTTTTAGTAACTTGAAATATCTTTCCAGATAGCTAACCTAGACGCATGTTGGGCAGAGCTGCCACACTGACCTGCTGGCAAAAAAAAAAGAGAGAGAGAGAGCAAGCTGTTATGATAAGCTTATGCTAAATATCAGAGTTGACAACTCATCTAGCACGGATTTTCCTTCTCTGGGGAGATATCTGCTGCCCCTCGGGTCACCTGACACTACTAAGCAGCCTGTGGGTGGGTCAGGGTCTGCGCCCAGGCAGGGAAGGACACGCTGGGCCCGCGACGGCCGGCACCCGCGTCGGCTCGGTCTCCGGTCTCCCCCACCGGCAGCGCCTCACACGCCAGCTCCCCAGACTCAGGTCAGGCATCGTTCGCACCGCCTCTGCCTCAGCGGTGATGGGAAACGGACAATTGCCAGCCGTACTCGTAATTATGTTCCCTGCCAGTCATCTTGCGCCCCGCCATGTCTCGCTACGCCTTCGTGTCGTCATAGCAACCAAGGACCTGAGCCTTAGCCGCTCTCCATGGGGGCTGCCTTTGGCGGTGCCTGCGGAGGCGGGAGATAGCTAAGAATCCCAACCGTCTCTCGGGGACTCGACGTGTTTTAAATGGCAGCACAGGTTCAGAAGAAATAGAGAAGGAAAAAAAATGTTTAATCGGGCCGTTCTTACAGAGCCTGAAAGTGCCTTGAGCTCGGGGCTTCCACCCGGCGACAGTGCGCAGGCGCTGGCGCTGGCGGTGGCCGCCCACGCGCTCCCCTTCCGCGCTCGGCTTCGGGCTCTCGGTGGAAGGCGCCCCCGGTGCGAGCAAGCATCCTTAAACACTTATCTACCCTACTTTTTCACTGCTTTGCATATTTTTGTAAAACCCAAATTCCAGATAAAATGGGCAATTAAAAACTCAGTTGCTAGGTATCACCTCACACCTGTCAGAATGGCCACCATCAACAATCATCAAACAACAAGTGTTGGCGAGGGTGGAGGAAAGGAGACTCTAGGACACTGCTGGTGGGAATGCAGACTGGTCCAGCCGCTGTGGAAAACAATATGGTGCTACCTCAAAAAATTAAAAATTGAACTTCCATTTGACCCAGTGATCCCACTGCTGGGAATATACCCTAAGAAGCCTGAAACACCAATCAGGAAGAATATATGTACCCCCATGTTCATAGCAGCACTATTTACAATAGCTAAGATCTGGAAATAGCCCAAGTGTCCACCAGTAGACGAATGGATAAAAAAGCAGTGGTACATGTACACAATGGAGTACTATGCAGCGGTAAGAAAGAAAGATCTCTTATCCTTTGAGACGACATGGAGGGACCTGGAAAGTATTATCCTAAGTGAAAGAAGCCAAGCAGAAAAAGACAAATACCACATGATCTCACTTATATACGGAATATAATGAACATAACAGTCTGAGGAATACAGTAGACCCAGACACATGGAAGTGGGGCACAGACTGACATCCCTCAGAAGAGGGGATGGGGGGTGGGGGGTGGGAAGAGATAAACCACAGAACTTATATGCATGTATGCATGACCAACGGACATGGACAACTAAGCCGGGGACAGGGTGGAGGGGTGGGGTGGGGGTGCCAATGGGGTAAAAAGGTAAAATATCTGTAACAAAAAAATAAATAAATAATTCATTCAAAAAAAAAACCTCAGTTGCCATCGGTTGAGGCTTTATTGTGGAGGGTGTGCCGTCCTGGACACCTCCATCAAGGGTTCCTGGGACGCTAAGCGCCGCCCTCCAGAGCACACGAAAGCCTTTCCTTCCTTGGTCGGGACATTTTCTCGGGTGGAGACAGAGAAAAAGATTGCATTTCAGGCGGAGCCAACCGAAGTAAAGTCGTTGGATCTTGTTTAAAAACCTGTTCTCTGGAAAGAAGGTGATAAACTTATTTGCACCATGGAGTCGAGTCCCTGCCCGTTACCGCCACGGGCATCACTTTGTATTAAGATGGAGGCTTAATGTCAAATAACGCCGTTGGAATCCCAGCGTCTAGAAGCCTCTGGTCTAGAAAATAAATTTCAGGAGGAAGGAAAACGTACCTTGTTCAATCGTCATATTCCTTAGTACCAAGCACAGTGCCTGGCGCAAACACTTTCAATAGGCGATGTTTGAAAATCAGCTAGACAGTTCTGTTGCTTCTGTGTTGATAGACAAAATTCTGGTTTCCAGGGGGGGTAATAGCAAAATACAAGCAAAATGTTGAAAATGAAAACCATCTCTAAGACCTTTTAAACCCAATACCTTGGATGTTTGAGCATTTTAGCCTTTAGCCCTGTCTCCCATCACCTTTTCTCTCGATTTCCCAATAATTAAAATACACATATAGCACACATATAGTTCACCTTTAAGGCCGAGCAACCATCAAGATCCATGATGCAATGCACTAGCAGGTGGAAGGTAATTTTCTCCCAAAGTGCATTTGCCTCACTCCTCACTAGTGGTGTGATACATTATAGTTTGGAGCATAATCAAGATACCAACTACAGAGGTCCCAATATTCCAACATCAATTTATCCATGGTTTATCAAGCATTTATTTAGGTACTGGGAGAACAAAGTAACTCATCTTGCATAATCTTAACCTAGTTTTTAAAAATCCAAGTAGGGTATTGATAGAAGAGATGGAGATAACTAAACAGATTAAAGAGATACATAGTAATGTCTATAGGATTTGGGAAGTGATTGGTGAGAAGTAAAAGACATCAAAGGTTACTTCTCATTTTCTATTCTGTGCAATGGTGTGATTATACATGCTGTGTCCTGAGCAAAGGTCTGGGTTAAAGTTGCACAAGTATATAAAGTAGAAAGCACAACAGATGAGGACATAAGAACATTACACTAAACCTATTGCTAATGAAGAATACAATTGCTACTTGGGAAATTCCTCTAGTAATTTTGAATTTTACCAAGAGAACCCTAAAATGGAGTAAGATAAAAATGCAAGGTAAGCAGGTAATACTTTTCCTAAATAGAAACATCAAGACATAGTAAAAGTGACAGTCATAGTTGCAAATGGGGTCATTTACAACGTTGTAAATTGCTTGTTGGTGTTGGCTGACTTCTGTGGCAGCTTAACACCAATTCAGCAGTAGGATCCTCCAGGGTTTCTGGTGAACAGAACATTTTCTCAGAAGAGAGTCAGTGTGATCATCAAACATGCCCGGAACTGGAGAAAACACAAGGAATAGTGGGTGTGCTTTCACAACAATCTCCTTTTTACCAACTCACTTTCCAAGTGTGTGGGCAGGGTTTACACACACATTTGTGGGCACTTAAATCACGGCCTGCAAAGCTCCCTGAAGGAGTCTGAGTGGAAAGTAGGCCACAATTGTTTAATGTAACTAAAAAATGAAGGTATTAATCAGATATGTTTAAAAAGAGACACTGAAAAATCTAGGCCCTGCTCAGCCAAACACTTCCCAGGGGCAGGGTAGCTTCTAGTATTGCTTCCACACAAACATGCCACTAAAATTGAAATGATGCCACCGACTATCTTAGTAGTAAGTCAGTTTTCAATTAATCTAAGTACCCTCCTTCTGATTCCACATGGGTGTGCCTAGAGGAAGTAATATACTTTTTATTTATTTATTTTAGGGAAAGGGGAACAGAGGGAGCGAGAGGCGCATTGATTTTTGTTGTTCCATTCATTCATGCATTCATTGGTTGATTCTTGTATGTGCCCTGACCAGGGATCAAACCCGCAACCTTAGCATATTGGGACAACGCTAAAACCAACTGAGCTATCCACCAGGGCAGTAATATGCTTTTTGTCTTATTCACAAGTGTATCTCAGTACATAGCACAGTACCTGGCACATGGTGTTGATGCAGCTTAGAATAAATTCATCTCTCACCATACAGTAAGTTGGGCTTCTATAGAGAGCAGAGTCAGTGACCAGGCCAACCTGAGTATTTCACTCCATGTGTGATGTCTTGTGGTATATTTACCAACTGGTTTTCTCCTACTTTATTAGTCAGATCCATGAAGCTATTTAATTTGGGTCCAAATGCAAGCTAAGCCTAAAAGGACAGGACCCTGAACTTTAGTAAATTAATCAAGGAGGGGCATATCTGATTTCCGAAGGGACTTCCCCTTCCTACTCCTCTGCAAAGGCAGATGGGTAAAACCACCCCATGGAGGTTAACTAGAAAGTACTCTCTTGGCTTTTACTACTATACAGTGTGCCCTCCATATCCACAGGTTCAACCAAATGCAGATGGGAAATACTTGAAAAAAATTTAGATTGTTGCTGACGTGTACTATGTAGTTAATTTAAGCCTATGATGTTTGCATCTCCTGCACATGTATAGCCTTTCTTCCTTGTCATTATTCCCTAAACAAGACAGTATAACCATTCACACAGCACTTACATTATATATTAGGAATTATAAGCAATCTAGAGATTATTTAAATTTACAGGAGGATGTTAAGTGATATGCAAATATGCCATTTTATATAAGGGTCTAGAGCAACCGCAGACTTGGGTGTCCATGGGGGATTCTAGAACCAATCCCCCTCAGATACGGAGGGATGACAGTATATGCAACAGAATGCTGCAATGTCAAATCCTACTCATAATAGGTTCCTATTATAAGATTCTTGTGGGAAGCAATTTATCTTGCTTCAGAATCGGTCTCCCCAAGCCATGTCTGAAAAGGCACACTTCCTGGCCACACATCTTCACACTCTATTAGGCTCCTAAGTCCTTTTCTATCCATCAGGGGAGGGTGGGAAGTGCATTTTTAGAAATACCCATTCACAAGTTTTAAAAGACCAGCAAAAAAAGGAATCAAGCAACATAAACAGGCTCAAGAGTCAGTGTCACTGCTTTTCTTGGTGCAAGTCACAGTAGGTCCCATTACTTCTTTGTAATATGTAACACGGCTCTCCATTATTCTGGACAAGAAAGTTCTGTTACTTGCCTTCTCCGTGGCTATATTCAGCATTTAAAGCTCCCTGATACTGGGTGAAAAGCATTTATGAACATGAAATATATAGTTATTATAGAGTTAACACTGAATACACTTGAAGTTACTTTTAAAACAGACTAGGTTTTTCCCCCAAATATACTTATTTACCACATTCTTCACCTAGAAAGTACTTTGTCTTTTTGTGTATGTATACTTTTTAGTTTTAATTTTTTTAAATTTATTTATTTTTTTTACAGATGTTTGTTTCTCCTTTTCCCCCCACCAACCTCTTCCTCCCGATCTGCCCCCGACCGTCCCCAGCATTGTTGTTTATATCCATAGTTACACATACTGTGCATGTAAGTTCTGTGGTTTATCTCCCCCCCCACCCCCGCTCTTCTGAGGTATGTCAGTCTGTACCCTACTTCTGTGTCTCTGGGTCTACTGCATATATGCATACTTTTTTTAAAGCTTAACAAATTTTAAGTTAATGTGAATGCAGTGCATACTATACAAAGTGAGGGGCCCAGTGATTAGACACACAAAGGCTTA